TCCTGGCCTGCTCTGGGAAGCAGTTGTGTTGGGGCCACATGTAAGGCTGACAGATAGTTCGTGTGTGAGTTCGAGCACCAGAGAGGACGGCCTGGAGAGGCTGAAAGAACTGCCCAGGGCCACAGAGTGAGGTGGTGGTGGCCCAGGCAGGCCCTTGATGAGGTGGGAGGCAGAAAGGGCCACCCCTGACCACTCTGTCCCTGCAGGACGCTGACGGAGCTTCTGAAGCAGCCAGGCCCCCAGGAGCCATTACCTCCCACCCTGGGCCCGCCTCTGGGTGGCTGTGTCCAGGTGCAGATGGGGGACGGCCTCCCCCAGGTCTCCCCCCACAACAGCGCAGGTGAGTCGGTGGCGGGCGGGCCTGAAAGGCAGCGGAGCACACAGAAGGGCGTGAGAGACAGAGAGGGGGTCCCTCGGCTGGGGTGTGGAGGCTTCCCCAGTGGAAATGAGCCGCCGCCTCTGCGGGTGTGAGGGGCCTGCCCGGTCAGCCAGCTCCACAGGGTGGAGAGGGACCCCTCATGGGTCCTGCGGCCTCGAGTCTGGGGGGGCTGTGATGTGAGGAAGGTTCCAGATGCAGGATTTGCTGGCTGGGACTGTGGTCTTAGGCTCGGGCTCCGGAGCCTCCCTCTGGGTCTCTCGAGAGCAGGCAGGCTTGGCAGCCCCCACGCCCCGTCTGGGTTCTGTTCCTCAGACATACCCCATCTCGGCGGGAGCAGGTCCCGGGACTCCACGCCTGGCTCGAGTGTCGCCTCCGGGCGAGCCGTTCATGAGGGTGGCACCCCCCGGGCTGGCTGCTGCCGCCGCTGCGCGTGATTTGGAGCCAGGCCCTGTTCCAGGCGCTGGAGGCTGCCGCGAACACAGGCTGGGCTCGCAGCCGCGCCCGGAGAACGGTCCCCCAGGTTCTCAACGGACAGCCTCGGGGAGAGGGCTGCGGAGAGGTGACAGCGCGGACGCAGTGATCCGGGGCATCGGGCCGAGCCGCGTCTCACTCCCTGCTGCAGACAAGAAGCACCTCAACAACGCGCCCCGGGGGTCGCCCGCCCCGGGGCCCCCGCGAGGCCCGCGGCTGCAAGTCGGCCGCAGCCTGACGCTGCAGCCCGACTACGCCAAGTACGCCACGTTTAAGACCGCCGCGCTCAAGGCCGCAGGTGAGTGAGGGGTGCGGGCGGCGCGAGGGAACCCGGGTTCGCGGGCTCCGGGACTGCGAGGCGCGGGGCCCAGTCTCCCGGCTCCAAGTTCTCAGTCCCGCGCGCCCGCCGCTCGGCCAATCGGCTCCCGCGCCCCGGCCGGGCCCGCCTCGGCCCCGCCCCCTACCGGGACCCCTCGTCGCGTCCGGAGTTCCAGGCGCCGAGGTCCCCGCGAGGCGCGGCTTGACCCTTCCCTGCCCTCTCCCTGCAGAGGCCACCCCGCGGGACTTCTGCCAGCGTTTCCCCGTCCCCGAGCGGTCCCCGCGTCCCCCTCCATCGCGGGCCCCGCGGCCCCCCCCGGACTTGCCTGCGCCGCGGGACGCCTGCCCCTGGGCCCCGCCCGGCTACGCGCCCCCTGCCGCGCCGGGTCCCTATGCCGCCTGGACCGCCGGTCGCCCGGTCCGACCTGCCCCGCTCGGCCACCCGGCGGCTCAAGCCTTCCAGGTACCCCGGAGGCCTGGCCGCGCGGCCCCGCGCCAGTTCAGCGCGGAAAAAATGCCCGAGGCCTTCAGCCCGCAGCCCCTCGGCCTTTACCGCAGCGTGGGCCGCGGGTCTCGGTACCTAAGGACCAACAGCAAGACCGAGGTTACCGTGTGAAGCGGGGCCGCGGTCCTCTCGAGGCGTCCTGGGCTGGGGCCCTCGTCTGTCCATCGGAGCCCCAGGCCACAGGGAGCCCTCCTGGAAGGTCAGCTCTTCCGTCTGCCTCAAGGGCACGGGGGTCTTGGAACCCGCAGGCCGCGGGTTGGTCTTGTAAATAAGCCCTTTATGTGGTTCCCGCTCCTGAGAATAAAGAGCCCTCAGCGTGGATGCGAGGCAGCATTGGTCACTGACTGGACAGACGGCAGTGCAGGCCTCAGAGGACACGGCGTGTGCAAGGGTGGAGGACTGTTCCAGTGCACTGGCCAGAGCGAGGGAGCAATGGCTGGAGAGGGTGGTCAGGGTTGAGTGTCAGGGTTAATGCCCACACCAGTGGGAGCCCTGGGAAAGGGGATGGTTAGATTTCTGCCACTGCAGCTTGAGGTGGCTGAACCTGGCTGATGCTCACTGACCATTGGCTGTGGGCCAGCCCCTGGCCTGCAGGTCGCTTGGCCAGATTGGCCTGGGGCTACCCCCCTTAATGGGTGTGGGCTGTGGGGACATCTGGTGCTCAGGATGGGGGCACCTCCTCCCAAGTAGCTTCTTTGAAACAGTGGAGGAAAGCTGGAGCAGGGTCCCTGGCAGTGCCCCTCCGGGAGGGCTCCTGGTACCTGGCTGTGGCCCAGGGCACTGCTAGCAGCTCACGTGCGTTTTCCACAGAGCTCCTGTGCCAGGGGACGCTGGGTACACTGGGGGCCAGGGCTGTGGCTGGCTGAGGGGTGTGACCTCAACAAAGCCATCCAGGTGGGTCCGTTTCCCTCCTGAGTACCTGAGGTGTGGTGTACTGTGTTAAGAACAATGGCTACCATTTGTTGGCCTTTCTCAAGAAATCTGCAAGAGCCTCATGGGGGTGCGCCTTTACAGAGGAGGAAGTTTGGGTTTTGAGACCTAAGTAGCTTGCCCAAGGTCACCCAGTGGACTCCCAGGTTAGGACCCTCCTGGATTGCTGTGAATCGGCTGAAATGGCAAGCAACAGGCAGTCTGGCGGGGAGAGAGAGTTCTGAGTGTTGGTAGGGAGGGCACCCTGTTCCCAGGGTATATATAAACAGTCTGGAGCTTTCCTTCTGCCGGCTGGGCTGCCCTGAGGCCCCAGAACCCACCAGGCCTGGTCTTTGCTCCTGCCAGGTGAAGGGTGCACCTCCCTGTCCCTTTAGGGTGTTAAGGCAACCAAGGCCTAGAAACCCCAGGACAGAGCCCTGGGCCCACAGTCCTAACCCTGTCCCACAGCTGTGTAGAGTTGGAGGAGGGGGGTGGGGGCTGAGTCATGGAGGCTGCACAGACTCACAAAGGGATCTGGTTCTTTCTCGGTCCACCTCCCACCCCCTGTCCCCAAACACATGACGAAGACTGTGGCTGAGCTATGCCAGGAGTCGGCAATTCCCCCTGCTCATTCTCAGTCCCAAGGGCCCTGGATCTCTATCCCAGTGGAACCAGGCTGAGGCTGTGGACAGTGGCCATCCCTGAAAATGATGGAACCATGCATGGGACCAGCTGCAACTGGGCCTCACCGGCAGTGTAGCCTGCTGTGACTACCTTTCAGAGGAAGTGGCTCAGAGTGGAAGGGATTCAGCCCTATGCTCAGTCCCATTCTGACTTCTCTTGCAACAAGGCCCAGCACTCCCATCCCAGCCTGTGGTCCTGCCCCTGGTGTGTCTCAGCAGCCTCACAAGGCACTCACTCTGGGCACACAAGCCTGTGGAACTACAGTCCATGGCGGAGCTTAGCATCCCCATTCTGCACACGTGGAAGTGGAGACAAGCACAGGACCTGGACTTGGGTCTGACTTGTCTCCTGGCTCAGAAGGTCACTGCCTTCACAGAAGGGAAACCAGGGAGCAGCTTACTCAGCAGGGGAGAGGTCAGCCAGTTGCATTATATCCAGAGAACAAGCTGGAACCTGGATAGCACGACCTCTGACCCCCAAAGCACCACCCACAGCCCCTGGCCCATTGCCCACCAAGTCATGCAGCCCCTTGGCTGGACACCACAGCAGTCACATTACAGACCCTCACACACCTTGTGCTGGGTGGTACCAATCTGTGTTTATTGAATAACCTAGGTCTGGGACACAGTGACTGAACATCAAGGAAGCCATAGGTGTACCCCCATTTTCAGTGTAAAATCACCCCCTCCCACCCCTAAACAATAGAGAGAAAAGGCACAGGACATATACACAACACTCGGGTGGGAAGGGTCCATAAATTACAGTAAGTGGGGGAGGGGCAGGAGAGAAAGCAGGTGGGGTCCAAGCACACCCTAGGGACAACACAAGCTGATGCATTCCAGCCTGCATCAAGGGGCCCTACTGTGAGCAGCCCCCAGTCTGTATTAGGGCTCCTGCCCACCCTCTGCCCCAACCAGCTTGAGGATGAGGCACAGGGAGTCCAGAAAAGTGGGACTTTTTCTCCTAGGACCTGCATCAAGGCAGGGGACCTCATTCCTAGTGCCCACCAAAGGCAACCTTCTGCCCACTCTGTAAAGAAGGGCTTGCCACTGGGGAGGGGTTGGGCCACGTTGGTTTTTTTCAGTTCAAGAATTAGTGATAAAAAGGCCAGGCACAGTGGCTCATGCCTGTAATCCCAGCACTTTGGGAAACTGTGACAGGTGTATCACAAGGTTGAGAGATCAAGACCATCCTGGCCAACATGGTGAAACCCCATCTCTACTAAAAATACAAAAACTAGCTGGGCGTGGTGGCATGCGCCTGTAGTCCCAGCCACTCAGGAAGCTGAGGCAGGAGAATCGCTTGAATCCGGGAGGCGGAGGTTGCAGTGAGCTGGGATCATGCCACTGCACTCCAGCCTGGCAACAGAGTGAGACTCCGTCTTAAGAAAAAAAAGAATTAGGGATAAAAATATACAGATATGCCTCAACTTACATAGGGTTACTTCCTGATAAATCCATCATAAATGAAAATATCATAATTCAAAAATTCATTTAATACCCCGACAGACCAACTGTAAAGTTGAACCATGGTTGAAGTGAACCACTGCAAAGCCGGGGCCAGTCTGCACTGTGGAGGTAGGTGTTGGGGTCGGGGAGGGGGGAACCTGGACACCATGCTGAAGGTCCCTGGTTCCCAGTCCCAATGGGTGGCTTCATTTCTCCCAGGCCCCTGGGCCTACCCTGAGCTTGGGATGACATCCTAGGAGGTGGAGAGTGGGAAGGAACAGGACAATTAAATAAGATACCATTTATTTCTTAAAAAATTAAAAAATAATGCCAACATAATTTCATCCATCCGCAGGCATGCTCCCTGCCTCCCACCAGCCTCCCAGGGCTGGGGTCCCCTCCTCCCCTGGCTGTCCTATGTAATAAAGGGAAAGACAATGAGTGGGCTCAGTCAGGCACAGGGGAGGGAACGCAGACCCAGGGAGAGAATCAAGATGCTACGGCAACTCAGCCTCACATCATGGCAAACCCAAGCACGCTGATAGAAAACATTCGTATAAAAAGCGGGGAGGGCATGCCAGGCACAGGCCTGAGGGCAGCTGCTCCCTGGTGCTGAGAGACTGCTGTCTCCCAGAGAAAGCCTGATAAAAACTGAGGAAGCAAAAAGGAGAGAGTGAGGTTCAGGAGAAAGTCAGGAAGGCTGAAGGCAGGGGGCTTGGCAGCTTGGGAGCTCCCCCTGCTGCTTTTAAGAACCAGTTTCTACCCTGCCACCTTTCCTCTCATGCCCACCAGACCCTGGACCATGGGCATCTAGTGACAGCAGCTTTAAGGGGCTCTGTCCAGGGGCCCACTGGCCTGAGGTGGCTCAGAAGCCTCGGCAGATGACAGCTAGGAAGACAAGGCTCCTCCCTACCACTCTCAGCAGGAGGATGCTGTGGGGGGAGAGAGGAACCGAGAGAGGTGGAGGGGCGAGCTGAGCCTGGTGGTCAGGAGGCGGCAATGGCAGTGCCACCACCCAGCTTGACAATCATCTGCTGGCAGTCATTGCAGGAGCGCCGGTCACCCACCTTCTCCAGGGTGCGGGCAGCCTCGGCCAGCAGCACTGCCCGCTGGCCCGGGGAGGATAGAAAGGAGAGGGGAAGGTGGCGGCAGGCCAGCAGGATGGCAGTGGCCCGCTCTCGCTGGCCGGGCCAGGCATCCACCTCTCCTATGGTAAAGAGATACGTGTCAGAACTGAGAGTCCATCATGCAGCCGGTGCTGTCCCTCAGCGTTACCTGGACTCATTCACTCAACACTGACACTCATCCTGGGAGGTGGAGTCTGTTGCCCCACCCAGTCCACGGAAAAGAAGTGAACTTGTCCAGTGTTCCACGGCCAGCCTGTGGTGGGGCTGGGGCTGAGATGGAGCCACATGGTCTGATTGGAGCCTCTGCTTCTACGCCTGCACCTGTGCTCAGACCCCACCCCAACCCTCCTTACCTGATCACAGCATGACCCATGACCACCCCAACCCCTGCAACCCACTAAGAGCGGTCTCAGGCTTCTTTCATTCTCAGAGAGGTGTGCTGGCCACAGCTGCTAGATGTGGGAGCTGGGCTGGCCCCAACCCTCCTCTCTTCCCGGGGGCAGGGCCAGCCCCAGCCTGCGAGCTGGAGAGCGGTGGACTCACCGTGCTTCGAGCTCTGTGTGGTGCGCCGCCGCAGACTGTGTTCCAGCAGCTGGTGGGTGCGGGTGGGACTGGCTCCTGCCATCAGGCGCACAGTCGCTTCATGCAGGAAGACCTGGGGAGGTGCAGGGGTGATATCCATTATACTCCTGGTCCCCACCTGTCTATGCTCAGGGTAGCTCTCCCTGAGCCATCTTGCCTGCCACCTGATGACATCCCTTCCCATACCACCCTGCCTTGCTCAACACTGAAAAGCAACCTCTGTTGACCCCTATTCCGACCCTGAGCCAGGCGGGAAACCTGGCTGAGCCGCAGGAGCAGGAGGAAAGGAGAGAGAGGCAAAATGCCTGCTTTCCTCAACTGGTGACAAGAAAGCCGTGGGCGCACCTTGTGGAGCTGGCAGACAAGCAGGGCCTGGGTGAAGCCTCCAGACCCTGGAGGCTGCTGCCAGTTTGACAAAAGGACAGGTGTGGCAGGGACAGAGGGGTGAGGGAGACAGCTGGGCTGGTACCAGAGAGGTTCGGTACCCTCTTTCCTTCCGTATCTTTAGAAAGGAACAGAGTCTAGAGGTGTGCGGGTAAAAGTCTGCAGCGCTGAGGTATGAGTCGCTGGTAGGTGAAGGGCAAGGCCGAACGAAGTCTGTCATTTCTTAAGATCTCAAGCTCTTTTTGATTGCTTTATATCTCAGTCTTCAGTGCTGCCAAGTAGATTCTGGTCTTGGTAGGCAACAGGGAGCCACTGCTGGGCTCTCAGCAGGGAGAAGCAGGATGGAAATGGTATTTAAGAGGCAGCCTTTGGGCTTAGGTGAGGTGCCTCACATCTGTAAAACCAGCACTTTGGGAGGTCAAAGCACGAGCTTGAGGCTAGGGGTTTCAGACCAGCCTGGGACACATAGCAAGACCACCCTCCTCTTTATAAAAAAAAAAAAAAAAAAAAAAAGCCATTGATGCCAGCCATGCTGTGAGCAGACCAGAGAGCTGACCAGGGTGGGCTCTAGGAGGCAGGGGTGCTGCCCCAGGCCTTGGGGCACATGCCCTCTTTCCACGGTAAGGAATGGCTTTCTGACGATATTGTCTGCTGTGTCCATCTTGGCTTGCTGCACACAGTGGTCACAGTACAACCCTGTGTGGGTCCTGCAGCAACTCAGGGTGATAGATGTGGGGGCCAAATACCAGGCTCTGCAGCAGCAGCCTTGCTCTGAGGCCTCCTCCTTCCAGCCCAGGCCTTACCCCCTCAATGACACTTCTGAGCCATCTTACTCAAATTCTTAGAAAAAAATACAGGTACAAATATGTCGAATACATTAAGTAACAATAAAAATAAACAACAAAGGAAATGGCTGGAGCCTGGCAAGGCCGGTCATAGAACTTTCCTCCGAGACTCAGTTCAGATAATGTGGCCACTGCCAAGGGGATGTTACCCAGCAGAAAAACCAAAGCCCCAGCTGCTGTGAAAAAGAATAAACGTCAATTTCCCCTTAGTGCGGTTCTAGAGAAATTCTGTCACTTGGCCAACAGTTATAAAAGTCAAAGTGGAGCTTGGGACCAGGCCAGGAGCCCTGATCTGCTGCCACTGCCCTCAGTGTCCTCCCACCCAGCATGTGCCTGGGGAGGTGTGGCTCCCTGCTGGCCCGTCTGTGGCGGCAAAGTATGACCTGCTCCCTGCTGAGCTCCAGGGCCAGGCACACAGCAGGCACTCAACCAATGTGTGCTGAACACAGGGATACATGGCGCCCAGCCCAGTGTTGGGCACAAGCCAAGCAGGTGCTCCACAAGTCACCAGGCTGACCTCAAAGGGCCAACTCCACAACCACATGCTGGTGCCCATGCTGGGTTCTGGGCTCAGGCCCCACAAACTCCAATCTGCCCTGCCCCACCAGCCAGCTGGGCCTCACCTTGCGGTACGCTGGGCGGAAGCTGTGTGCCAGCCTGCGCAGGCTGCCCAGGTCCCGCTGGAAGCCTGCCAGTTCAGCGCCTGATGCGTGGTAGGTCTCCCCAATGGCCTGGCTGGCACTGGCCTGCTTTTGCCAGAGCACTGTCCGCAGCGACAGTAACAGGTCACAGGTAAGTAGCTGGACCACCTGTGGGGTCAGCCATGAGAGAGGGGGGACAAGTGACTGGCCCATCCCTGAGGCAAGGATCCCAGCACCTGCCAGCTTCCCCCAGACCAACACCAGGCAGCTCTGGGAGTAAGCGGAGAGCCCCAGAGTCTGGCAAACTACTAAGGACATGAGAACAGCTCAAGGGAGAACCAATCCCTTCCATGGCCCCAGGAGGTGGGAGACAGGCCCTCCCCATTCTGCAGGTGAGAAAGCAAGGCTCTGACAGGGACAGAAGCTTGTATAGGGGACACAGCACAGGCAGGTGGCAAGGACAGAAATAAAACCCTTGTGGGTTGAAGGCACAGGTTCTTTCACCTCATGGGAGCCCCACCATGGCTGCCTAGGAGGCTGTGATGCCCACAAGGTGCCAAGGAAAACCCTGAAGTGGCAGCAGAGCCCTGGAGCTGGAGCTGGGGCTGGGGGGAGGAGGAGGAGGAGGAGAGGGACACAGGTGTCTCAGAAGGCAGAACCGCAGAGTGGTTTGGTGCTTGGGGATTAGGCTGACTGACCTAGCTTTGCCAGTTACTAGCTACGTGACCCTGGTGCAGGACTTAATCTCTCTGAGCCTGTTTCTTTATCAAAAAAAAAAAAAAAAAAAAAAAAAAAAGGAAATGGCACCACCACAGGGCTGCTGTGTCATATGACAAGACACTGCGTGTGGGCCACACATACTTTCTGCCTACTATCTATGAGGCTGGGCTGCCTGCCTGGCTCCCAGCAGCATACCAGCACAACACCGAGCAGTGAGGAGCAGCAAGTTCTTCTTGAGATGGGCCACGAGCAGCCCTCTCGTCCAGAGGAACTTCCTCAGGCTGAGCCTCACCCCACCCAGCCCTGGCTTTCCTCATTCCCAAGATACTGGGCCTGGGGAAGTAAGTCCCTATGCTGATCCAGACCCTGCCCTGTCCCTGCACAAGGCCTGGATCCTTGCCTACAATTTTCCAGCTATTGTCTGCTTCAAGAGGATGTGGATAAGAAGTCCTCTCCTCAAACAAAACCTGGTGCTTCTAAGCTGTGTGTGCTGCAGGAGTGCCTGTGGGCATGGAGGGAGCAGGCCTATGGCTGGATTCTGCCCTCCAAGGGCCACCAGGCTGCGTGCGGTTGTCTTCTAGGTTCACTCTCCTATCATAGAGCTGCTACCAAAGAACCCCATACTGAGCCTGTATCGTTTGGTTCTCTCATGAAGACAAATATGGAAGAGACTAATGGAAAGCCCAAAAGAGAAGCTGAGATGTGGCTCGCCATCTGCTTTTGGTCTTGGCAGCCCAGGAGAATTTGGGACTCTGGTCCCCTGCTCCCGGGAGGTCACCATATTGATGCCTAACTTAGTGCAGACACCTGATCAGTAGAGCGCACTACAGCCCAGAACTCCTGGACTCAAGCGATCCTCCAGCCTCAGCCTCCCGAGTAGCTGGGACTATAGGCACGCACCACCGCACCTGGCAGGACTCTTTTTTTTAAGATGGAGTCTTGCTCTATTGCTCAAGCTGGAATGCAGTGGCGTGATCTTGGCTCACTGCAACCACCACCTCCTGGGTTCAAGCGATTCTCTTGCCTCAGCCTCCTGAGTAGCTGGGATTACAAGCACATACCACCACACTTGGCTAATTTTTGTTTTTTTTAGTACAAATGGGGTTTCACCATGTTGGCCAGGCTGGTATCAAACTTCTGACCTCAGGTGATCTGGCCACCTTGGCTTCCCAAAGTGCTGGGATTACAGGTGTGAGCCATGGCGCCCAGTTGCTTTGGGCCTTTTCTGTACATTGCCTGTCCCTGTAGGGGCTGGCATGCTGCCCTGGGTTCATCCCAATCCCAAGGCCCACTGACAATATCTAGCATGAAGTACTAGCCTAGTACCTGAGATCAAACCCCAGGGAGTGGCTGAGGATCTGAACCTCCAGGATTCTGCCTGCCCTTCCCTCTATGGAGTTAAGGACACGTTCCCCAGGAGACCAGGTGATGCTCCACTTTCAGCTGGGTGCCCTCCCCTTTTTCCTGGGATGGCTGTGATTTAGTCCCCAACAGTGGCAGCAGTACCCTCTATTAGAATCACCTCCCCAAGTAATGGGGCCTTTGGTGAGGACGTGGTGGGCATCTCTCGAGGGCCAGGCAGGCCTCTGTGATGCACTGTGGAAACATTGCATGGATGCCACCAGAACATGCAATGCAACTACAATGCACCACAGCTGCCCGCCAGGAGGTATGCGGTCAGCCAGACAGGTGCCCAGGGCAGTCTTCAGCTCCGTTCGTGTGCCAGGGGCCAGGGCCAGGGGCCCACTCCAAGGCTGCCTACAGAGGCCTGGAAAATCATGCAAGCCGCTGGAACAAATGCAGGGTGAAGCCCTGGCCAGCTGGGGTGCACCTGGGCTTACAGAGCGTATGAGCCAGCAGGACCTGGGACTCTGAGAGCCTAAGAAAGGTGTAGATAGAAACATGCCTGCTTCAGAGACTGACAAGGGAGTCCACCTTTTTTTGAAAGGGGGCTGCTGTCTTGGTTTATCTGTCTCTTGTACAACCCCACCTGTGAGGTCAGCTCAAAGCGGGTAGGAGTGTTCTCATGAACCAGGGCAGAGTACCTTCCCCAGGGGCCAGCTCAGCCCCAACTCACGTGGTTGAGGGCAGGGTCAGAGGTGGCCCCGCTGACATTGAGGCTGCTCCATAGGTGGCCACTGGCCCTCTCGCAATGGCAGAAGGAACTCTGCTGCCCATCTGCTTTCCCAGAGAGTGAGGCATGCATGGCTCTGCAGGCATGGAAGACGGCCTTCACCAGGGGGCTCCTGCAGCAGCGACAAGGGAGGTGAGAAGCAGGTCACTATGTATCACCTGTGTGACAGGTAGAGGAGCCCAAGCCAGTGACCACCACACCCCACACTGACATGACACGTGGGTCTGTCAACTGCAGTGCTACCATGATGGCTCCAGGCTACCAGCTCCAGATCTGAAATGCCAGGCCTGAGCTAGGGTTGGCTTCCAACCCTGTAACACCTTCATTCAATGCTGGACGAAGTCAGGCACAGGCTTCACTACTAGGTCTGCTGCTAAGAAGCCATCTAAGACAGGCGTTCCAACATGTGTGCCTCAGTTTCCTTACCTATAAAGTGGCCACAATAAGGTGTTGTACCCGTTCTTTAAGGGACCACTCTCCCAAATATGTGGTGTTAAACTCTGTGGAAAAACTTAGTTAGCTTCTTTCTGCAGAGCAGACTGGGGGGTGAAAGGGGAGGCTAGGGTTGGGGGAGTTCTCATAGCATTCTAGTCCCTGAAGAGCAGAGGGAGCCAGGGATAAGTGAACCAGCAGGCAGCAGTGCCTGCAGGGGTGTCTTGGCTGTCCATGGCAGCTCTGCTGCTCAGGAGTGAGATGACTTTGGGACAACCTACCTGCTGAGCTTCCGTGTCCTCAGGCACACTGACTGGGAGACACATACATACAGGTGGAATGCTACACAGGTCTGGGGCAGGGTAGGTGCTTACTAGTCAGAGGGCTTAAAATGAGGCTATTTCAATGAATTAGGGGGTCACATCTACTTCAGGGAGCACAGGGCTTCAAGCCTGTGTATACTCACTCTTCTCAGCTCCTTCCTATGCTCCTGGTTAAGAGTCTGCTTGACAGGAAATGTTACAGACTTGGCTCTAAGGATAGGACCTTGTGGGGCCTTTTATCTTGGAGCATTTTACAGTTTCTCTCAGAACACTCAGATCCAATTAGAAACAGCCAGGGAGTCAGCAGGCAGGGCTGCCCATCACTATGTGCTGAATGTCCCCAAGATGCCGACATAAATCTCCAAAGAGGAATGTCAAAAGCTCTCTGGTTATGCCATGTGCTAAAGGCTATTTTAGTTACAGGACAAGGTTGCTAGGGTTGATGGTGGGCTGGAGCTGGCTGAAAGGAAAGTGGATAAAATGTTGGCACACAGGGGCAGGATGCTCCGGTACACGTGAGTTTTGGGGGCAATTGTGGCCTCTCTGCACTGACTGAGAATCACTAGCACCCTGCCTGCCTCCACCACGAAGCTTCTGAAGGTACTGGGAGCCATGCTGCTCTGTCTCTTCCTTTTAGCCTGTGGTGCCATGAAAGCTGCAGGGAGGAGACAGTGCTGACAGCTGCTGGGACAACAGTCGTGTTGTGCAGAGCAGGACAGTTGCACATAGGACCTGGAGGCCCAACTTGAGTTCTTCACCCCCGACTTTTCCAGCTCCCCACGTCATGCAGTCCTGACCCTTAATCCGAACATGCCCACCCAGTGCAGCCTGCTCCCGCTAACTCAGATAAGATTCCCCTAGAGAGAAGCGAGTGGCCAAGGAGGCTTACGCACTCTGTTGCTTCCAGGGCCTTGGGGACGCGTTCTACTTTGGTAAAATAAAAGCGCACAGCTGCATCATCTCCCTGGAGCCAGCTGATGGCCACAGTGATTGCAGACGTCCACCACCGACAGATGATGTCTGGACCTAGAGGGGAACAGCACCAAATGTACTCCAGCACCCATACAAATGAGACCTGCAGCGCTCAGAGGCTGCTACGCTTCCTTCCTAGGAGGTGGGTAACATCTTTGTCTGCTGGCAATAGGCCAGCAGCCTCTGGGCTCCCATGCCCAGGATTCTGGTGTGAACAGATCTTAGAAAGTATTTGGCAATATGTATCAAGAGCCTTAAAAATGTTCACTCCTGGCCAGGCGCCGTGGCTCACGCCTGTAATACCAGCACTTTGGGAGGCCGAGGAGGGTGGATCACAAGGTCAAGAGATCGAGACCATCCTGGTCAACATGGTGAAACCCTGTCTCTACTAAAAATACAAAAAATTAGCTGGGCATGGTGGCGTGTGCCTGTAATCTCAGCTACTCAGGAGGCTGAGGCAGGAGAATTGCCTGAACCCAGGAGGCGGAGGTTGCGGTGAGCCGAGATCGCGCCATTGCACTCCAGCCTGGGTAACAAGAGCGAAACTCCATCTCAAAAAAAAAAAGTTCACTCCTGGTTGGCCGTGGTGGCTCATACCTACAATCCCAGCACTTTGGGAGGCCAAGACAGGCGATCACCTGATGTCAGGAGTTCGAGACCAGACTGGCCAACATGCTGAAACCCTGTCTCTACTAAAAATATATTAAAAAATTAGCCAGTTGTGGTGGTGGGCACATGTAATCCCAGCTACTCGGAAGGCTGAGGCAGGAGAGGAGAATCGCTTAAACCCCTGGGAGGTGGAGGTTGCATTAAGCGAAGATCGTGCCATTGCACTCCAGCCTGGGCAACAAGAGCAAGACTCCATCTCAAAAAAAAAGAAGAAAAAAGTTTACTCCCGTTAAGCTAGTAATCCCATTTTTGGCAGTCTATCATAATGAAATTGGCTTAAAGAGAGAAAATAGTTTAACACAGATGTTCACCGCAGTGTTGTTTTTAAGTAAAAAGATGGATACACCCTAAGCTTTCAATGGCAATGAAGAATATCTTCAAAGACTCTGGAACAGGCTCCTGTTAGAATATTTTAAGTCTTCTCCTCTCACAGCCTTAGTTTTCTCAGCTGTAAAACGATGACAGTAGTGGTCCCACAAAACCAGCAGGAATGGTCATGCTTCCCTCAACTTGAAAACACAGAGAGGCCACAGGTCAGGGATCATGATGGGGTAGCTGATTTTCTGGGATCTCTCCCTCCCTAGGGAGAGCAACCAGAGGTAGCTTGGTACCCACAACTTCCCCAGTGGCCCCAGAAGCCCAAGAGTTGGCAGCTGATGTGCTATCATCCTGATGGCAGTTTAGGGACAGAAGCAAAGAAATGTCCTGGTGTCAACTTAGTCAGCGGGCTACGCTGTGACCCTGAGGCGATGAGGGGCTGAGGGTGGCAGAGATGCCAAGATGAAAAGTCTCTTCTGCAAAGAGTGTAAGGCCCAAGAGCTGCCTTGGGAGTCACTGTGCATCTGAAAGGTGACCCCCCTCCTGCCCTGGTGCCTGGGCCACTCTGCTTGTTCTGGGCATTAAGAAGGATTGTCTCCTGGGCCACACAGCCAGCGCTTGAGGAAGGCATTCAGTCACTCATTGCCCTACTTCTCTGAAAACCATTGTTTCCTGCCTCTGAGTGCTGTTTGGGAGGGGGTGACTGTGACTTGGGGCCATATGAGGTTCATAGGTATGAACCTAGGATCCAGAGAAGAAGCTGGCATCTACGCTCCTAACATCCTGGACCCCTGGGGCAAAAGCACTGTGAAGACCTGAACTAAGCACCCTGAGACTGTGGGCCACCCGCAGATGCTTACCCAGGGCAGATTTGAGCACGGAGCTGCTGGAGAGTGGGGGGCTCACAATCCCCACAGAGTCCACAAAAGAATGAAGTAATTTCAGGTACTCCAGAGCACTGGAGAATTCACTAGGAAGAAAAAAAAGGGTCTCATGTACATCAAAACATACACAAGGCCCACCTCATGGTCTGGTTGTTCAGCTCTCCAGCTCTAAGACCCAATGGCCATTTTGGTCCCTTCCCCATCATCCCAGGCACACACAAGCGCTGTGTACCCTTTGTACTCCCCAGGAATCCTTCCTCCCTGTCTCTGGGCTGTCGTGATACTGTTCCCTCTACTGGAGGCCTTTCCCTAACATCCCCCATAGCCTACCCTCACTCCTGCCCTGAAGCTCCAAGTCCAGTGTTATCTCCTCCCAGAAGTTTTCTTATCTACCAAGCAGGACTCCCCTTCCCTCTACTTAGTGCACGCTAATCAGGATCTGGGCCTTGTATGAAAGTGACTTTGGGGCCAGGCATGGTGGATCACTTGAGGTCAGTAGTTCGAGACCAGCCTGACCAATGGTGAAACTCCGCCTCTACCAAGAAGTACAAAAATTAGCCAGGAGTGGTGGCGCGTGCCTGTAATCCCAGCTACTTGGGAGGCTGAGGCAGGAGAATCACTTGAACCCAAGAAGTGGAGGTTGCAGTGAGCCGAAATCGTGCCACTACACTCTGGCCTAGGCAAAAGAGTGAGACACTATTTCAATGCCCCCACCTCCCCCCCCCCAAAAAAAAAACAAAAACAAAAATAACAAAAAAAGAAAGTGACTTTGGCACCCATCTGCCCCTCAGGTCTTACTCTGTGAAAGGACTGTATTCAGTAACTATGTCAGAGACAAAAATTGCCTGCACATTCCATGAGGGGTTGGGTCCCCAAGATGTCCGGGCCAGATGTATCTCCCTTCTGTTGAACTTGCCACATTTTATTCCCAACCCCTTTCAACACTGCTCCCTACCCCAAACAGCAAAGCAAGCAAATGAAGTTCCTGATTTGGTCCAAGTACTGACTCCGCTTGGTAAAGGGATACATAAAAATGGACGCACGTGGTCTAGGAGGAAAGGCCAGATGAGAGTTCATGTGGGCTCTCATTTTTGAGAAGTTAAATACAAAGGAACCATTTGATTGCCCTGCCAACCTGATGCCAGGGCCGTTTCCCTCTAGGAGTGCAGGTCTTCAGGTGGTCCTGGAATTGCCTGGCTGGACAAGCCCTGAGGCAGGGGCACTGGTCTGGGGACCCTACCAGCTTTCCTCGTCCTGGTCTGCAGCCTTCTTCTTGGCCTGAGGTTTTACCAAGGACTCTATAGCTCGCTCCAGCAGATTCTTGCAGAAGGCCTGGTGGACCTGGGCAATGGGATCGGCTGGAAAAAGAGACAGGAAAGGAGGGTTATATGGGGCTCATTTAAAAATCCACTTTGTCTTTATGGAGAGAAACTCAAAACACAGCCATGCCCTGTGAATGGGGATCAGATCCCCCTTCTCAACCGAAGCCCAGAATGACTGTGCTGAACAGTTGGAGGCTGGGGGAGAGTGTTCACTCCCAGGCTGAAGAGCCCAGGTTAGTTCCATATGAGCTCCAGTGGGGAGGGGGGATGGGGAGGGTGCTGTGCCTCCTGGCACAGTGCTCAGTACTCCAAGATTGGGAGCTGTCAGGGGAGTTGGATCAGAAAACAAAAAATGGAATGTCTCAGAGGATGTCTCTTCTCCATGTGGCTTAGAAGAACCACCAGGCAAGGAGAAAAAGGTGGTGGCTGCTCCCATGCTCCTGTTTTCCCAGAGCCTCGTCATGGAATGTGCCATCAGCAGTGACCTGTCTGAACTGCTTAGACACAGGGCCTTGCAATGCTTGGACGGCTGACAGTTACCAGCAAGTTTATTTACTGGCAGGCCTGAAATCATTAGCCCCTTCTCTCTCCTCGAATGTGGTGAGGTATGTGGGATACATATGTGGCAGATATGTGGGCTCTTGATCTAATGACCAGGAGAAGGAGGGACACTTATGAACGTATTCCAGGTAACAAGACCTGGAAGCAGAGACTGCCAGAAATGACAAAGCCACTGGGAAGTCCAGGGCTAGCCAGTAGGAGTGGGGTAGAAAGACTGAGGATTGCTTTTGCTTTCCTCCTTTATATTTTGCTGTAGCATATAATTCCTCATGTTGAGCAATAAAGTTACTATTTAAAAAAGAAAAGAAGGCCGGGCGCAATGGCTCTTGAGGTCAGGAGTTCAAGACCAGCCTGGCCAATATGGTGAAACCCCATCTCCACTAAAAATATAAAAATTAGCTGGTCATGGGCCGGGCGCAGTGGCTCAAGCCTGTAATCCCAGCACTTTGGGAGGCCGAGCTGGGTGGATCATGAGGTCAAGAGATCGAGACCATCCTGGTCAACATGGTGAAACCCTGTCTCTACTAAAAATACAAAAAATTAGCTGGGCGTGGTGGCGCGTGCCTGTAATCCCAGCTACTCAGGAGGCTGAGGCAGGAGAATGGCCTGAACCCAGGAGGCGGAGGTTGCGGTGAGCTCAAGTCGCGCCATTCACTCCAGCCTGGGTAACAAGAGCGGAACTCCATCTCAAAAAAAAAAAAAAAAAAAATTGGCTGGTCATGGTGGTGCATGCCTGTAATCCCAGCTACTCAGGAGGTTAAGGCAGGAGTATCGCTTGAGCCCAGGTGGCAGAGGTTGCAGTGAGCTGAGATCACGCCATTGCACTCCAGCCTGGGCAACGGAGTAAGACTCCATCTCAAAAAAAAAAAAGAAGAAAAAAGGATAGCGAACCCCCATGATGCTTGACACACACCCCTGAACCTGCCGAACCTCACGCTCTCCACAGACTCTCAATTCTGAGAGGGGAAGAAAAGTACAGCAGAAAGCTGAGAGCCACTGAGCACTCAAGGTCTAAGTCAATCCCGACCAGCCTCTACTGCTCCAAGGCCAGGCAAGTCAACTCCAATCACTATCAAATGCCAGGGACAGAAAGCCAGCACCTCCTTCCAATGCCTGGAGCCTCGTCCCTGTCACCACTCTCAGCAGTTGATGACCGCCTGCCATCTATTGTTCCCGAACTCTGGAGGCCAGGGAGAGCAAGGCTCACACATCCTTTGTGTCTCCAAAGCCCCAAAACAAGGGCTAAGAGCTCGCACTTGGTGCTTAATCACAATGCATCACTGTGTGAGATAAGGACCATGGGCTCTGAATGTCAGAGAGAGCAGAGCTGCACACCCGGCTTAGCCACTGACAATTTCTGATCGGGCTTGTGACCTTAGGCAAGTTATGTGACCTCCCTGAACTTCAGTTCAAACAAACAGACTCAAAAATACTGAGAGACAACCGTGTCACCACATGTCTGCTGCACAGTAGCTCTGTAGTACAGTTGACATGGCTTTCTCCAATTCTGAACGGCTCCGAGCTATTCTCACCTGGGTTCCTCTGGGCACAGTACAGACTCTCCTTGGCAGCTGACTTCACAGACCAGCTCCGCTCCATGAAAAACTTCTGGCCCAGGGGGTGGCAGAGCCAACGCAGGGAGTCAGGAACAGCGCTGGGCTCGGGGCCACACAGGCTCTGGGCTCGGCTGAGGAAGTAGCTCTGTGGAAGGACAAGGACCGTTAACACCAAGGTGGCAGAATGCTGGTTGCAGCCACTGTGGGGCCATTAGAAAGCACCACGGTGGAGATGGGCTTGCGGGGAGACTGGGAAAGATCAGTGCAGGGCTAGGACTCTCACAGGTACCTGGAAGTAAACCCCACCATGGAAACTAGGGCAAGCCTACCAGTGGAGTGTGTTAGACTTGGTGACTGGGTTGAAATCCCAGCAGGAGGGCAGGGAGCAGCCATGAGACATGTGTGAGGCCCCTGCTGGATCCTGTCCTGCTGGGGCTGCCTGATCCTACTGCCATTCAACCTGCAGGGTAAACTGGGAGGGGAGTTTCCCAAGGAGAGGGCTCAGAGGCCCCCTGGCTGCTGTATTCCACCCTCGGCCTGTGAGTGCCAAGCCAGGCAGCCCCTTCTATTCTGGAACTTTTCACCATGTTGTTTTAATTACATATCTTTTAGACTATTTTAGGCAAAACTATTCTTCTTTCACTAATATTTCTTTTACTTTGTGTATAAAGTTTAGAAGAGTGCATAGCACATGGCCCGCGGTCAGGATCACATTAGATGGCACTGTAGTGAAGGGGCAGCTTGGAGGCCAGCCCAGGCCACGTGCAGGCAAGTATCTGTGTGCGGGTGGGTGAGAGACTCTCCCTGCAGGGCCAGCTTTGCAGCCCCCTACAGAAACCCCACAGCACCCCTGCATGAGCCCCTGATGTGAACACCAGCCTGCGAGAAACAACAGGGGGGATCTTGGAAAGCCTCTTTGTGGGACAATTAAAAGGGCCAGGGCCTCCGGTCTCTGGGCCCCTCCTCCACTTTCGGGGATAATATAATTCCAGGACCCCAGTGACAAGAACTGCAGGGACAATATGATCTATCACGTTTTCAGTTCTGTCATTTTTTGAGTGAGGATATCTTCAGTAACATTCACAACTTCCAACCCATAACTATTCCCTGAAACAGGCCAGGGTGAGTGAGGAGCTGAGGACAGGAAGACAGGAGGGAGGGAGAAGCATAAGATAGAAAGTCCAAGGAGCCCAGGGGCAGGGCTGCCAGGCTAAGGCCTGCAGACATCAGCCTCCACACCCCAGCTCTTGCCCCCACAGGAGGGGAGCTGTTTCATGGTCTGGTTCAGTCTGATGGTTCTGACCTTTACTGGGCACTAAGTAGCTATCAGCAAATGTAACAGCTTCAGAAGACTTGAATGCCAGGGTCAGAAATAGCACTGTCAGAGTGCCACTCAAGGACAGACAGAGAAGTCTGTCTCCCTTCAAGGCAGAACCTGGAGATACTGCCTGAATCTGAGAGAAAATAACCTGTTCTATAGACATATAATCTCATGGCAGCTTATGGCACGAGGTGGGGCATTTCACTTACATTTCTAATCACGGGACCAGTGGCACTAATAGTCCTATCTCCTCTTTGCTAATCAGTGTTGATACTGTATATTGGAGAACAAATGTAAAGGAACCTTGTGACCCTCCACCAACCTTCCACAAAACACTCACTGAATCTGAGCTGGTAACTGCAGTGGTGGGAGAACAGTAGCTGAGAAGCTGAGTCAGGATGGAGGCTGGCAAGGGCGGTGTGATTCCAGGGCTTCTGAGGTCCCAGAACATTCAAATGGTTGGCTCCAACTCTCTTTCCAGAACAGCCTATTCCACATGTCCAATCAGCAAGGGAGCCTGGTGGCTGCTCCAGGAGAAACTGAGGACCAACTAGTCCCTCAGAAGGGCCCAAATGTCACAAACAGAAGCAGAAACAAAGCCTGGTCTAGGTCATATGGCAAGAGGAACCAGGAAGGGCCAATGTGGAAATCACGAAGCTAAAATGTATTTTAAGCTTAATTCTTTTGTGACAGGGTCTCACACTTTGTCACCTGGGCTGGAGTGCAGTGGGCCATCATGGCTCACTGCAGCCTCAACCTCTGGGATCAGGTAAAATCCTCCCACCTCACCTCCCAAGTAGCTGGAACTACAGGGCACATGCCACCATGCCTGGCTAATTTTTTGGTATTTTTGGTACAAACAGGTTTTTGCTATGTTGCCCAGACTAGTCTCGAATTCCTGGGCTCAAGTTTGAACCCAGGAGGCAGAAGTTGTGGTGAGTCAAGATTGCACCATTGTATTCCAGGGTGACAGAGTGAGACACCATCTCAAAAAAAAAAAAAAAAAAAAAAAAAAGCCAGGTGTGGTGGCTCACATCTATAATCCCAGAACTTTGGGCGGCTGAGGCAGGTGGATCACCTGAGGTCAGGACTTCTAGATCAGTCTGGCCAACATGACAAAACCCTGTCTCTCCTAACTATACAAAAATGAGCTAGCACAGTAGCGGGTGCCTGTAATCCCAGCTGCTTGGGAGGCTGAGGTAAGAGAATCACTTGAACCTGGGAGGTGGAGGTTGCAAATGAGCTGAGATAGTGCCACTGCACTCCAACCTGGCCAACAAGAGTGAAACTCCACCTCAAGAAATATACATACATATATATTTACATATATATATCTCCTGGGATACAGTCATCTAAAGTATGGCTTACATAAGGGAAACTGAGAAAACAGCTTTTAATTTTCTTGGCATTTTAGTCCTCTAATAATTTTCCTTCAAATTTTTCTTTTTTCTTTTTGAGACAGGGTCTTGCTCTGTCATCCAGGCTCCAGTGCAGTGGCACAATCAAGGCTCATTGCAGTCTTGACCTCCTGGGTTCAAGCAATCCTCCCACCTCAGTCACCTGAGTAGTTCGGACCGTACAAAAGTTAGCTGGGCACACCGCCATGCCAGGCTAACTTTTGTATCTTTGGTAGAGATGGGGTTTCACCACGTTGCCCAGGCTGGTCTTAAACTCCTGAGATCAAGTGATCCTCCCACCTCAGCTTCCCAAGGTGCTGACATTATAGCCACAAGCCACCATGGCTGACCTATTTTTTTTTTTTTAATTTTCCTAAATTTTATAGACATCAGGATTCTCCCCAGCTGGGGCCTAGGAGCCTCTCCCCTGTAACTCATCTGCTAATTGCCTGATGTGAAAGAGGCTGTGGCAAGAACCCCACAACTGCCTAGATCCTGAGAGCCACTCAGTACCCCTGGGCCAGTCCCAACTCCAGTTGTGTCCCCTAGCATCAGTCTAACCCCGTGGCTCTCAAATCAGGTGCCAAGGTAGTCTGAGGTCCCACAGCAAGTGATCAGGCAACCATAGGCTATTTTAAACTTTGGAGGAAAACAGTGATATTCATCATCAGCTGGGTACTGTAAGTCACTACATGGGGAGAGCCTACAGCCTCAGCATTGAAACCACACTACCTTCCTTTGGATGATGTCATGTTTGTCATAGTACTGTGTGAAAATCAATGTGGAAAAGAGAGAGTGGTGGTGGCTAGTCTGATCCCAAAGCTTGAAAAGGTGTGCAGTGCTTGACAGGTGCATGTACTGGTAAGAAACATAGTGAGACCATGCTTGTGAACAGCCATTCCACTCCAGCCTGGGTAACAGAGTAAGACTGTGTCTCTATTTTAAAAAAAAAAAAAAAAAAAAAAAAAAAAGGCAAGGCCAGGCCCAGTGGCTCACGCATGTAATCTCGGAACTTCGGGAGGCAGAGGCAGGCAGATCATGAGGTCAAGAGTTTGAGACCAGCCTGACCAACACGGTGAAACCCTGTCTCTAAAAAATTAGCTGGGTGTGGTAGCGTACGCCTGTAATCCCAGCTACTCAGGAGGCTGAGGAAGGAGAATGGCTTGAACCTGGAAGGCGGAGGTTGTGGTAAGCTGACATAGCGCCACTGCACTCCAGCCTGGGTGACAGAGCGAGACTCTGTCTCAAACAAACAAAATAGATATGTATATATAATATATATATATTTTGGATTCTTAATAACCATGATTTCTAAGAAATTATTAAGAATCCAAAATCCTCAGCCGGGTGCAGTGGCTCACGCCTATAATCCCAGCACTTTGGGAGGCCAAGGCAGGTGGATCACGAGGTCTGAAGATCAAGATCATCCTGGCCAACATGGAGAAACCCTGTCTCTACTAAAATATAAAAAATTAGCCAGGCATGGTGGTGGGTGCCTGTAGTCCCAGCTACTTGAGAGGCCGAGGCAGGGGAATCGCTTGAACCAGGAGGCGGAGGTTGCAGTGAGTCAAGATTGCACACTGCACTCCAGCCTGGTGACAGAGCAAGACTCCGTCTCAAAAAAAAAAAAAAAAAAGAATCCAAAATATCCTCTCTCTCTTTTTATTTTACTGAGATGGAGTCTCGCTCTGTCACCCAGACTGGAATGCAGTGGCACGATCTCAGCTCACTGCAACCTCTCTGTCTCCTGGGTTCAAGCGATTCTCTCAGCTTCCCAAGTAGCTGGGATTACAGGTTTGTGTCACCTGGCCAAGTTTTGTAATTTTAGTAGAGATGGGGTTTCACAATGTTGGCCAGGCTGGTCTTGAACGCCTAACATCAGGTGATCCACCCACCATCTTCCCAAAGTGCTGGGATTATAGGTGTGAGCCTTTTTATAGAGACATGGTCTCACTACGTTGCCCAAGCTGGAGTGGAGTGGCTCTATTCACAGGCATGACCATAGTTAACTGCAGCCTCAAACTTGTGGCTTCAAGAGATCCTCCTGCTTCAGTCTCCTGAGGAGCTGGGACTACAGGTATATGCTATGACTCCTAGCAAAAAGTATTATTTCTTCTTTCAACTTCATGTTAAGACAATTTAAATACCTATTAGGATGTTCAAACTTAACTGCTTAACAGAGGCCAGGTGCAGTAGTGCATGTCTATAATCCTAGGAGTTTGAGACCAGCCTGAGCAACATAGCAAAACCCTGACTCTACAAAAAATAGAAAAAAATTAGCTCAGTGTGGTGGTGTATACCTGCAGTTCCAGCTACTCGGGAAGCTACGGGGGGAGGATCACCTAAGCCCAGGGGGGTTGAGGCTGCAGTGAGCCATGATCGTGCCACTGCACTCCAGCCTGGGCAACAGAGCAAGACCCTATCTCAACAAACAAACAAACAAAAACAGAACTGTTAGGTATTTCTTTTGACTACGGGACACCATGAAAAATCTGCAGAGACATAGTGAGTCGAGCAAGTTTGGGAACCTCTAGTCCAAACCATATTCACCAAGGCCAGCCCTCCACTTGCCCCCAACACCTGGCTCATTTGCTAGCTAAATATATCTCACCAAATTCAAAGCTACTTCCTTTATAAGAAAGTACTGTCCGAGTCTCTTTATTCTCTCTCAAGAGAAGTAAACAGAGAAGAGCAGCTGCTTTAGAGATGACAATTCTTCTTTTTCCATCTTACTGAATATGCAAATTTGGTAATACTATTAAGTTTCAAGTATTTATATCCTTTGACACAGCATCACCATCTCTAGAGATTTAATCTGAGGAAGCTCTTACAGAGGTGTGTAAAGACAATGGCCAAAATATTCCCTATAGCGCTGTTTACAACAGCAAATGCTGGTTGTAAAATAACCCAAATGTCCAGCAGCAGCACCAAGTACCTCTGCAGAATGAAGAGGCTACAAAGAAACACCCAAGATTCATCGTTAGGCTGAAAAAAGTCAGTGGCAAAAAAAAAAGTCAGGGCTTATGGTATAATCACAGTAATTTATATGCATGTTAGTATATGCATAAAAAAATTTGAGGAAATACAGAACTGGTCACTGCTTGTCAGGCATACCAAATGTGTTCTGGGGGCTCATGGGCAGAGACGACTCTAAGGAAACCAGTGATCTGATCGTCAGCTGCCACACACATGCCTGCCTCAAATAGGCTGAGTCCCTTTCAGAGGGCAGTTGCATCTTAGTGATAAGGAAAACTGGTCTTCTGGGATGATGTGAAAGATAAGCCTAAAATTAATGTGGGAAGGTAAAGGAGCAAAAAACAGTCACTAAATCTGGAAGACCAACACTTCTAGACATTAAGACATAAGGGCCGTTAGGGTTGGGTGGTGGGGGAACAGTGGAACAGACTAGCAGATCGGGAGGCAGGACACGGACACCGTACACGGACACTTGATTTATGAAAAGAAGGTGCCACTTGGTGTAGCAGGGGAAGGACAGTTTTTAAAATAACAGGCTCTGTTATTTTAAATATCCTTAAGGTAAATATCCTTAAGGAAAAAAACAGATCTTGTACCCCTGCCTCCAACTCATATAAAAATTAATTCCCCGTGGATTAGGTACCTATGTATAAAGAGTAACAAATAAAGCTTCTAGCAGACAACAAAGGAGAATATCTTCATGACTTTGAGGTAGGACAAAGATTTACTGAACAGGATGTAAAGGAAAAGAGTAATAATCTGGATTTCACTGAAATTAAGAGCTTGTGCTATCACTAGACACCATTAAGAGAGAAGAAGCAAACCACAGAGTGGGAGAAGGGATATGAAAAGCATATATCCAATGAGACGACAGATACCCCAAATAAAAAAAGAGGTAAGATTTGAATTGAGTTTCACAAAAGAGACTATCAAAATTGCCAATAAATGTAAGAAGAGGCGCTCAACTTCAACGTCAATCACCTGCGAAGTCCAAATGAAAACTACAATGAGATACACTAGAAGAGCTTTAAAAAATTGACATTAATGTGTTTGGTAAGGATGTAGAACTGGAACTCTTGCCCACTGCTGATGGAGTGAAGAATGGCAAACAATTTGGAAATACGCACAACTTCTGACCCAGCAATGCCATTCTTAAAAATGCAGTCACATGTTTACTGAGAGATGTGTTCAAGGAGGTTCACGGCAGCACTCTTCATAATAGCCAAAACCAGAAAGCAACGAAAAAGTTCATCTGCAACATTCTAGTCATACAACAAAACACTATAAAGTATGAGAACGAACAATTTATAATTCTACATGACAACATAAATGATTCTTACACATTGCACAAAAGAAGTCAGACACAAGGCCAGGCGCGGTGGCTCATGCCTGTAATTGTAGCAGTTTGGGAGGCCGAGGCGGGCAGATCACCAGGTCAGGAGACCATCTGGGTCGAAACCCCTTCTCTACTAAAAATACAAAAATTAGCTGGCATGGTGGCGCATGCCTGTAATCCCAGCTACTCAGGAGGTTGAGGGAGGAAAACTGCTTGAAACAGGGAGTCGGAGGTTGCAGTGAGCTGAGATCATGCCATTATACTCCAGCCTGGCAACAGAATAAGACTCTGTCTCCAAAAAAAAAATCAGACATAAAACAGTAAATACTGCAAGACTCACCTTATATTAACATAAAGTTTAAAGAGAGGCAAAACATCTCAGGTGACTGGGATGGTGGTTACCCACGGAAGGCTGGACGACTTGGGGAAAGTTGCAGGTTAGTGATAGCAAAGGGCCCAAGAACGGCTTCTGACATCTTGGCTCTGTGCTTTGAGCTGTCTGCTGGCTACATGGATGCGCTTACCCTGTGGAGTCACTGAACTGTGTATTTATGATTTGTATACTTTTTGACATGCATATTGTACTTTTCTTTTTTTGAGATGGAGTGTCATTCACTCCGTCACCCAGGCTGGAGTGTGGTGGTGTAATCTTGCCTTACCACAACCTCTGTTTTCTGGGTTCAAGCGATTCCCCTGCCTCAAACTCCAAAGTAGCTGGGATTATAGGTGTGCACCACCATGCCCGGCTAATTTTTGTATTTTGTATTTATTTATTTATTTTTTGGAGATGGAGTCTCACTCTGCCACCTAGGCTGGAGCACAGTGGTGCAAGTTTGGTTCACTCAACCCCTACCTCCTGGGTTCAAGTAATTCTCCTGCCTCAGCCTCCCGAGTAGCTGGGATTAAAGGTGCGTGCCACCATGCCTGGCCTAATTTTTGTATTTTTAGTAGAGAAATGGTTTCACCATACTGGCTAGGCTGGTTTCAAACTCCTGACTGTAGGTGATCCGCCCACCTCGGCCTCCCAAAGTGCTGGGATTACAGGTGTGAGCCACTGCACACGGCCAGACTTCTAAGTGTGTATTTTGATAAGTTTTCTGAAATGAGAAACAACAGGCAGATTAAACTACAGTGACAATTCAGAAAAGTGGTTACCTTGGTTGGGGCGGGAAGAAGCAGGAAGAGTGGGAAGGGCCGTGCTGGGAATGTCCAACTTCTTGACGTGGGTGGGTGAACATTGGTGACTTTACTTCAAGCCCGTAAGTTAAAATGTGTGCATTCTTCTGCACATATGTTATGTTTTGATAAAATGAATGTCTTTTAAACATTGTTGGGGAGCATGGAAGTTACAAATGTAATGACATCAGCCCAGAGCACTTCAATACACCGAATAGGGAAGAGACCTCATCAATGCCTTGTGCTCTCAGCCTAGATACACCTTTCCCAGAAAGCCCACCCTGACTTCCCTCAAGACAACTCAGGAGCTCACCCTAGCTCACACTGTCCTGAAGATCTGGTCCCAGGAAGATTTGTTGAGGGAAGGTTGAAATGAATAGGAAAAATGATGTGCCTTCAGTGTCTGTGGACTCCCAGGTTGTCTAGCCACAGGTGAGGATGGGGTTCTTTCCCCACCTGGAGCCCAGTCCTCCTCAGAGAAGATCAATGTCAAAGCCTAGAAGGGTGGCTGTCTAGATTCCTTGCCAGACTGTATGCTCCCTGAGAACAAGAAATGTCCTGCTTAGAGAAGGTGCTCAGTCGTGTTTGCTGAATGAGTGAATCAAGGGATGAATCTCTTATCTGTGGTCACCAGAAACAGAGGTAAGGCATAGAAAGTACACTGGACTTCCCTGCACCCTTTGTAACTTAGACTATCGTGATGCACCTCAGGAAATATGTCACTGTCACCACAGGGTACGTTCTGATTCATTCTCGGCTCGCCTCTGCCATTACTGAGATACAGAAACAGAGATGTGACAATGTTGTTTTGAACATACTTGATGTATTCAGCAGTCTACCCATAGTGGGGCACAGAGTAAAACGTGCCTGTTTCTGCTAGAGTAAGAGAAAGCCTGAGGTCAGCATGTTGTGAACTAGCTGATAACAAGGATCAGGGAATTACCCATTTGAGAGTTCCCAAGGTTGGCTCCTAGCCAGGCATGTGAGGGGTGCTTGATAACCACAATCCCTGCCCTGGGTCTGACCTGAGTTCTTTGTAGATAGGCACAGGTCTTCTTTATTTTTATTCTTTTCTGTAACTCTGTAGCTTGGCAAAGGCACTAGCTTTTATTTCTGGATTCACAGTGCTGTGATCAATACCAGATGCCCATAAATACCTTTTGGGTAAATAAAAGAACAGAAACATAACCAAGAGATTCTAAGAATTTTTATGACCACCCAAAGAGCAGAAAGTTGCATATTAACCTCCAAGCAGTGTAGCTCTGGAATCTGTATCTAACCAATCATCATATTACCGCAGGCCATCAAAATGTCCTGCCTGCAAGGCCTATGGTTGTTAAGGCCACGAGGGGAAGAATTGTGGTCTGTTTTATTGGTTGCTCGGAGTACTGGTGAAATGAGCAACTGAATGAATGCCTACCCCTCTAGGTGGGCAGCACCTGAGGGGGAAGGCGACCAATACCTGCTTTTGCATCTTAGCTCTTGGCTAGGTAAGTGCTCAGGGGAGGTTTACAGAAGGGAAATGAAGGGTACTCACCGCCAAGAAGCCCAGCTTGCCTCCACACCGGGTCTTGAGCCCCATGGCAGCAGTCAGGTGGATCTCAACCAGCATGCTTGGTGGGATCTTCTCCTCTGCACATTCAGCCAGGTTTACGGCACATAATGCCATGTGTACATCTGAACAGGCAGATCCTGCAGGAAGCTTCCCTAGGGTGGGCGGAAACACACACTATCATTGCTGGATCTCCCAACCCAAACTTTTTCCTGCTCTCCCCAGTACGATCAAAGTAAGAGAGAAACCAGGAGAGAAATCAGGTGAGCTTTGTGATCGGACAGGCTAGATCACAGGATAGGACGCCAGGCTCTGTGACATACTGGCTGTGTGTTCCTGTCTACCTCACAGGGTAGCTGGGAACATGGCACCCAGTTCTGTTGCAAACAGAGCTGTCACGATTACAGGTTGTAGTATGGGACTCAGAGGCACACGGTGCAACATTTCCCAAAACAGCGTCAGCAGCACAGCCACATCCTGTGTCTCCAAACATTCAAGAGAGGTAATGACATTTTTTTTTTTGGACAAACTGATTTGAATTTATTTTCATTAAAGAACCTTCTCAATATGGCTAAGCACAATAGCTCATATCTGTAATCCCAGCACCATGGGAGGCGGAGGCCAGCGGATCACTTGAGGCCAGGAGTTCTAGAACAGCCTGGCAAACACAGTGAACTCTCATCTCCACTAAAAATAGAAAAAATTAGCTGGACGTGGTGGTGCATGCCTATAATTCCACCTACTTGGAAGGCTGAGGGAGGAGAATCGCTTTAGCCTGGGAGGTGGAGATTGCAGTGAGCCGAGACCGTGACACTGCGCTCTGGCCTGGGAAACAGAGAGAGACTCTGTCCCCCAGAAAAAGAACCCACCTTCACAATATACAAGCACACACACTTTTGAGGGGGGAAGTGACATAAACTGAGCAAGGACAGCTAAATACATGTTGGGTTAGTGGGTGGGAGGCCAGGAAGGCATACTACCCTCTCCCCTATGAGAGGTACACAGTGGCTCATCTGGGGCTGATTCCCTAATCAGGGGACAGAGTATCCTTGCACAGGCACAAAGGCCCATCACAGCTCTCCTCAGGCTTTCGTACTGTCACCTGCTTTGGTCCTCGCTACAAGGGCAAGGAAAAAGTGATGAGTTCCCTTTTGGACACTTGCCTGTGAGGTGCGGAGGGGAGCTGCACATGCAGGACCTGCAGCCCAAAGACCTGCAGGTGAGCGTGAAAAGCAAGGACACCGGGCTTTCACCTTCACAAGGAGGGAGGAGAGAGGGCAGTGTGGCAACCATACTGTAGTTACTGCTGTCCCCTCAGTGTCTCACACAGCAAATGTCAGAGAGTAGGGAAGGAATGAGTGATGTAAAGCTTCTCAGCTAGAATTCTCCAGAACTTGGCAGCAAGGAGGACACAGCCTGATCAGAGACAGGAATATGGGCTTATTCTGTCCCAAGGGCACACTGAAAAACAGACAAGGTAAGAGCAGGACAAATCTGCAGATAGGGATCTTCTGCTAAAACTCTACCATGAGCCCACATATTAAAGCTGCACACTGGCCCCACTGTGTCAGTCTCCTGGTTTCCTGCATCACTTGCCTGGCTCTGTTCCACTTTTGGCTGAAGCTCCCTGCAGCCACCAGGGCATCCAACACCTTCCAGTTACCACATCCTACTATTATTCCTGGCCCTCATCTTACTGGGTATCCCAGCAACAATCTCTCCTCCTCAACCCTCTGCCCTTGCTTCTCCAACACTAAGCCTCTCAGTGTCTCCTCAGACTGCTCCTCTCAGGCAGCCTCTCCCCCTAACACCTCGTCTTCTATCTGTTCATTTCTGTGTGCATGTGCAGTGGCAGGATCACAGCTCACTGCAGCCTTGACCTACCTCCCAGGCTCAAGTGATCCCCCTACCTTGGTCTCTCAAGTAGCTGGGGCCACAGGTGCACCCCACAAAGACCGGCAAATTTTTTGAATTTTTTTTGGTAGTGATGAGTCTCCCTGTATTTCCAAGCTAGTGGGAAATTCCTGGGCTCAAGTGACCTTCCTGCCTTGACCTCCCAAAGTGCTGGGATTACAGATGTGAACCACTGTGCCAGCCTCTATCTGTTCTTTTATTTATTTATTTATTTTTGGAGACAGAGTTTCACTCTTGTCACCCAGGCTGGAGTGCAGTGGCACAATCTTGGCCAACTGCAACCTCCACCTCCTGGGTTCAAGTGATTCTCCTGCCTGAGCCTCCCGAGTAGCCAGGATTACAGGCGTGCGCCACCACACTCGGCTAATTTTTGTATTTTTAGTAGAGATGAGGTTTCATCAAGTTGGCCTGGCTGGTCTCAATCTCCTGACCTCAGGTGATCCACCTGCCTTGGCCTCCCAAAGTGCTGGGATTACAGGTATGAGCCACTGCCCCCAGCCCATCTTTACATGTGGGTGTTCCTCTGAATGGCCCTGAGGGTCTCCCTTTCACCACATCCACTCTCATCAGCTCCCTTGCTTTTCACGTTCACCTGCAGGTCTTTGGGCTGCAGATCCTGCATGTCCAGCTCCCCTCCATACCTCACAGGCAAGTGTCCAAAGGGAACTCATCACTTTTCCCTGGAAAGCTGCTCTTCCTTCTGTTTTCCTTACCTTTGTTGGTGGCACCACCATTCACCCAAACTCCCAAGAAGAACCAAGGAACCATTTTAGCTGACTCCTTTCCTCATCTATCAGTCCAATCAATCCACATTCTAATTTCCTTTCATCTGTCCTTACAGCATCTCTCATCTTCAATCTGCATCAGCTTCTATTTGGCCTCTCTAACTCCTCTGGGATCCATTCCTTATCTGCCATCAGAGTGAATCTTCTCAACTTTTTTTTTGGAGTGCTGTGGTGCAGTCTCAACTTACTGGAGCCCTGATCCCTCAGGCTCCAGTAATTCTCCATCAGCCTCCCCGGTATCTGGGATTACAGGTATGCACCACCATGCTTGGCTAATTTTTGTATTTTTTGTAGAAATGGGGTTTCACCACATTGTCAAGGCTGGACTGCAACTCCTGAATGCAAGTGATCCTCCTGTCTTGGTCTCCCATAGTGCTGGGACTACAGGCGTGAGCCAGCTACCATGCCCAGCCTGACTCTTCTAAACTTGAGAAGCAGAAATCTGAGCATCATTATTTTCCTAACGCTCTTCACTGAATCCTTCTGATACACTACAAGATCCCCAGCCTGGTATCCAGATCCATCATGGTCTGAGCACTGCCCTTGTGCCCTGGCTCCCTTTAGGACCACTGAAGGCTTATTCTCAAGAGCCACCCCAGGTGGGGCTCCTCCTTGGGAACATCCCTCTGCCCAGAAGGCTCATCTCCTGCAGAGCTGGTGACCTCTATGCATCCTTCTATGCAAAGCCAAGACTCTACTTCCCCAGAAAGCCTTTTGTGAAACCCTACCCAACGGGTACCCTGCTCCCTCCCAACGAAAACATGTTCCTCCAGCTAAGTCTAACATATTCACACTGAACTGTCATTCATTTGCTGATCTCTCTGCCTTTCTATTATAGCAGGAGTTTACGGAATGAAATAAATGATCATATTTCACTGAATCTAAGATGTCATCAATTTTAAGTCTTGCCATTAATTTAAGTATCACTGAAGAAAAACACTGTCAACTTATCTACAATGTGCCATTGTTTATAGGACACATCCTGAGTATAGTGATGATTTCATGGAAACACATGGATCTGAGAACTGACAAGCTAAAGCAACGAGCCATCCTTACATCTATGGAAACAGGCAGAAGGTTGGTCTAGCCACTCTAAAAGAGCAGTGTTAAAGGGGCTTCAACTAGGGTGCAGAACTGGCAAATCAAGCTAAGGAGGTGAGGCAGCACAAGAAGCCTTGTCGCAAGCCAGGCAGCAGTCGCCCCCTCACCTGTGATGTGCAGTTGGTGCAACCGGTGATAGGCCAGAGCTGCATCGCGGGCACTAGTCTTAGCTTGGTCCTCAAAGCCTGCCTCGGTCGCTGGTGTGGCCCGCCGGCGCTGGAAAACTTTCCTGAGCAGCCAGCGCACCAGGCGTAGCTTCTGCAGGCTGTAGCGGATCACGTTCCAGGAGAGGCTGCAGGCCAGGTCCAGGCGGGAGGTGGGCAGTGCCCGGCCCAAAACTGCCAGGCAGGTTTGCAGGTTGGCGGCAGCAGCTGCAAAATCTCCCTACAGAGTATCAAGGGGGTGTTAATGGTCACTGGCCTTGCCTGGGCTTTCTGTTTTGACAGACTTCTATTCCCCCCACCGCCGGTTATCAGAGGAATTAGTGCATACTCATTATAAAAATGAGGGAAACTTCAGAAAGCTACAAGAAAGTAAAACAAAACAACCTACAATCTCATCCCCCAGAAAGAATCCCTGCTGACATTTTGAGGTATTTCCTTCCAGGCTTTTTACTCAATTGAGATTGTATTACATTCTTTCTTTGAGCAAATGCTGGTCAGAGTTCCCTCACAGTAGCTTTTTTTTTCTATTTTTAGTAAAGTCGGGGTTTCACCATGTTGGTCAGGCTGGTCTCAAACTCCTGACCTCAAGTGATCTACCCACCTCAGCCTCCCAAAGTGCTGGGATTACAGGTGTGAGCCACTGCACCTGGCCAACAGTAGCTTTTAGACATAAGATGGTGACAAATATTTAGATAAACTGCATGATCCTTTAGGCTTTTAGGGTTTCACAGTGTGGCCCCCAGAGGCCAGTAGCATCAGCTCTTAGGAGCTTGTTAGAAATGCAAGCACTTGGACCTTACCCCAGGGCTACTGAATCAGAACCTCTGGCAGTCTTCAGGTGATTCTCATGCCATGCCTGCTAATGTTTTTCTTTTCATTTTTAGGGATGAGGGTTTGCTATGGTGCCTAGGCTGCTCTTGAACTCCTGGGCTCAAGCAATCCTCCCATCTCAGCCTCCTCTGTAGCTGGGATTTACAGGTGTGAGTCACAGCACCTGGCTTCAGGCCTGCTCAAGTTTAAGAACCAGAGTTTTGGGCCGGGTGCAGTGGCTCAAGCCTTTAATCCCAGCACTTTGGGAGGCCGAGGCGGGTGGATCACAAGGTCAAGAGATCGAGACCATCCTGGTCAACATGGTGAAACCCCGTCTCTACTAAAAATACAAAAAATTAGCTGGGCATGGTGGCGCGTGCCTGTAATTCCAGCTACTCAGGAGGCTGAGGCAGGAGAATTGCCTGAACCCAGGAGGTGGAAGTTGCGGTGAGCCGAGATTGCGCCATTACACTCCAGCCTGGGTAACAAGAGCGAAACTCCGTCTCAAAAAAAAAAAAAAAAAAAAAAAAGAACCAGAGTTTTAGGCAAACTCACAGCTAAACCATCCTACCCTAGGATTCAGATGAACTAATCTTTGTCAATCTTGGAGGGTCTAATAATCTACTGTACCGTTCTGAAGACCACTTGCTTTCTCTCTCTCTTATTGCTGGGAACTAGACCCTCCTCAGTCCCCATGGCCTGCCTCTCAATCACTGCTCTTGCTACAGGGGCCTCTCCCAGCTTTTCCAGGCAACGTGGCCTAGATGGAGTCTGCTCCATCTTCCAGCCTCTCTGGTCCTTGAGTCAATGTCACTATCACTTCCTTTTCCAATATTACATTTCAAATATTTATTCAGTTCAAACCTTTCATTTTAATTCCAGGTCCTTGCCATCATCTCTTAGCCTATTTCAAGAGCCCCCTGACTCAGCCAGGCGTGGTAGCTCATAACTATAATCCCAACACATTGGGAGATCAAGGTGAGAGGATCACTTGAGCCTAGGAGTTCGGGACCAGCCAGGCAACATAGTGAGACCTCGTCTCTACTTAAAAAAAAAAAAAAAAAAAAAAGAGAGCCCCTAACTTGTTTCTAGGTTCCATGCATTTCACATCTCCCTCCTATCTATCCTTCATGCCACCAGAATGATGCCTGTAAAACACACACCTGAGCCTGCCACTAGGATATACATCTTGGGATGTTATGCTCTGGGAACAGGCCTCTTAAAATCACATCTATATTCTGAGACCCATAGCCCCAGTAAGGCTGACGGATTCAGGATGGCCAATCAGATTCTCACTAATGGGCCTGCAGCTTGGAGAGGTGGGGAGAGCAGTCTCATGGCTCACTGCTGCTGAGGAGTGTTCTGGTTCTTGTTCCTCCTGAAATGTGGATATTTAACTCTCCTTTCAATGCTGTAAGTTGACTCAGAATCTTTTCCATAAACTTCCTGTTGATTTCAAATGAAAACTTTCAGCTAGTTTTCCTATTCAAAAACCTTTTCTGGTTCTTTAGCAAACTGAGAATAAAGCCCCAAATCAGTTCCTAGTAAAAGCCCTCTCCAATTTGGGCCTAGACACACTACCAGCCTTTGCCTTCCTCTCTGTCTGACATATCCCACACTCAACACACCCTGGAACCTGCCAGTCTCCAAATACCCTGTCTATTCATGCCTTCGGGTTGGAAGGTCCTTCTGCCCTACCTGCCCTTCCTTCTTGCTCTTGGCAGCCCCGCTCAAGCCCTAGAACCCCTCCCTCCGAACTCAACTTTATTCTTCCTCTGTTGTATCAGAGACATAGATCCTCTCATGTCCCTGGAATTAATTATCTATGCAGAGACGCCGTCTCCACTGCCCTGCAGCTGTTCAGCAACAGGGTCCCTTTTTCCTCTCAGTCACCACAAGCATCTATTGTAGGACTTCCCTCACAGGGAGGATTCAACATGAGTTGCTGAATTATTGGTCAAGCCTATGGAGGATGGGGCAGGGCGGACACAGAACTCACTCTGGAGAGATCCAGGTCTGCCTGTTTCCGGTGCCTCCAGAAGGTGACTGAAGAGCGAGAGTGTGGCCGGATCACTGGCTCCCCATGGACCAGCAGCTTCACAAAGACGCTCAGGACAATCACACCATTTACCAGCCATAAGAGAAGAGTAGGCATCATCCAGTCAAACCAGCCCCCAGAACCTAAAGAGGAGTGTCTCAGCAGAGCCTGCCAGGAAAGGCCTTGCAGAGCAACCAGGTACCTGACAGACCCCAGCACATTATCACATGAAAGAGGCTTCTACTGCATTTTTAGAAGGAAGGGCAAGTAATTCTATAATCTAAACGGGGCTAATGACTGCAACCCTTGTTATTATGGAGCCAAGTACCACAAAAATCTGTTAGCTTGTAAGGGGGATTAAGTCACTGGTTTTGCCACTCAGGTGAAAAACACCATATCCTCCTTCAAATAGGTACCACCCCTCCACCCCAGGGTATTTAGTGTGAGTTCCTGATTTGTTTTGCTCATTTTGACTCAACTTGGGCTTGCCTTGTTACTTCCAAAATGCAACTTATTCCAGTCCCTATCAGAAGTAAGCAGGTGGGGGCCCACCATAAAAGCCCCTTGGGACTTGGTAGCCAAGCTAAGAAGTCTGTACACAGGGTCCTTCTCCTGCCAGAGTGCTTCAGCCATGCCCAGGTGATGCAAGGGGCCTCGACCTACCTGACTCGAATGACAGGACACTGCGGCCAGAGCCTGAGTTTGGGTGCTGGTCAGAGTCGTGGGCCCCTCCCCACTGTAGCAGGGAGGTCAGGGGGTTAAAGGAGAGGCACAGGAAGGTGAGGACACACAGAAGAATCCGTGAGCGGTCTACCATGCCCAGTGCCACAGGAGGAGAGTCCGGCTCATCTTTGACCTTCAAAACAAGGCCTCAAGGTTGGAATAAATACTGCATAGGTTTTTATAGCACTTTATAAATACATACATATATTGAGAAATGGTTATAAGGTTTAAATTCAAGTCCATTAACTCAGGACTAAAGCCAGATGGGAACTGAGAAGCCTATAATTCACTAACTGTGCCCAAACACTGGCATATTCACCTGCTTGCTAAATGAGAAAAGTACATGTTCCGAAGAACAAAGGTAGAAGACATTTTCTTTTAAAATAGAGCTCTACCACAAAAGAGAACACACTGTATGATTCTGTTTCTGTCTAATTCCAGAACAGGTAAAACGAATCTAAAGTAACAGGAAACCGATGAATCAGTCATTGTCTGAGGCTGGAGAGGGGTGTGGGAAACTACCTGCAAAGGTGTACAAAGCACTTTTTGGGGTGATGGAAACGTTCTACGTCTTGATTATACTGATAGTTACACAGTACCGTACATTATGTTAAAACTCTTGGTCCTGTACATTTAAAGTAGGTGTATTTTATTGCATTTAAATTATACCTCAATAAAGTTGATCAAAGACTGTATTTAGTGTGACTCTATCTAAAGGATTTTACCTGTTCTAAAACCCTACCATTGTCTACACCCACACTACTCCTCATTTTATAGCAGGAGGGCTGGAACCAGATCTCCCCTGAGCCTCAATGTGTATATAGCATGTCACTTCTTTTCAATATTTTAAAACCATTTAAGATTTCTTCTGATGACTCAAAAGCCCAGCTAATTCAATTTATATGTCAAACAGCCTGTTGTTACCAAACAGAATCACATTTATAAGAATATATAAAAAACAGAGCTTCTTTAGTAAAATTAAGTATATGATACAATAAACAGCTAGTCAAAAAAAAAAAAAAAAAAACTAGAAGGGAACTGTGTGCTTTCAGAGTCAGAAACTGCCAACGTCAAAATACAGTACAGAACCCAGTGGTCTCTATAGGTTCCCAGCAAGATCATTAGGTCCAGAGCCTCTCTTAAGTAATTCCATTAAACTACAATTGCCTGGAGCTTTCTTTGACGATTAAAGGTCCTAGGTGAAATGTTATCTGTTAGACTTGCAAGCTGTAATCATTTCTGAAAAGAGGACCCAGAGGCAGCCTCATCCTAAACCAACTGATCAGCCTCCCAAAGTGGTTTTGCCAGGCCCATTAAAGGCAGAGCGAAGCAATGAGGTGCCTCTAGCAGCTCCCAACGCCCTCAAAACAGCTATTTCGCATTCTCATTCTGGATCAGGCACTCATTCCTCTCTGACAGGGCCCATCAGCAAGGATCAGTTAAACCTGAGGGACTGTTTCCCCCCCAGAGTCAGTCTTCTTTATTCTCCAGGAACTGGCTAATTTAACAGAATTCCTGTTCCTCTCCAGGCTAGGCTGTCTGAACATGTGGCCTGGCTGCTTAACTGTGGCCTCCCAGCTACTTTCTTATGGGAAATGGGAAAAATTCCAGGGATAAAGAGATTTCCAAAGTCTGTACCTTCGCATCATCCAAAAGAGGGCTTCCTGGCTCAGAGTCAATGGAGTAGGGAGAGAAGCCAGCCTGGGACCCTGAGTCAGAGGCTGGGGGCGACATCAGAAGGACATTCTGATTAAAGTCCTCGATCTTCAGATCCACCTCACTGTCCACCAGACTGCCTAGGTCGATGCCCTTTAGAAGCTCTGCAAAGAAAACCCAGCTGGTGAAAATGATCTGCTTTTACAAAGCCCTACATGGGCGGGGCTGGGCCAGGTTAGGCCTCATACATGTCTGTGGGCCCTGCCCAGTGCCCAGCACAGGATGGTTTGAAAATCCTTTTCTCAGCCAGCACACTTACTGTTCTTTTGATTTGCCAGCTTCAGCACCATGTTCTCCTGGCGCAGTTTATGATTGACCTGCTGCAAGTATTTGATGTAATCAATGGCCTTCCTCAGAACCCCAGACTTGTGCATCTGAGAAGGAAGATGAGGGAAAACACAGTGAGACTAGTGCAGGCTACAGGGTAAAGAGAGCAGAGCCCTAGAACTTGGGTTGAGAGGCTGGCTCTGTGAGGGGAGAAACCAAGTTCAGATGCTGGCCTTCCCAGTGATCAGCTGTGCTACCAGGGACAAGTTATTCCATACCTCTGAACCTCACTTTCCTCCTCCTTAACACGGAGATAATGTGAATCGCTGCCTCGAGGGCTAAATGAGATAATGAGCGTAAAGGGCTTAGCCTCGAGCCTAGCAAATAGTTGAAACTCAATAAATAAATACTAGTTATTGTTCCTACTTCTTATAAAAATCTTAGCACCGCCGGGCGCGGTTGCTCATGCCTGTAATCCCAGCACTTTGGGAGGCCAAGGCGGGTGGATCATGAGGTCAAAAGAGCGAGACCATCCTGGTCAACAAGGTGAAACACCGTCTCTACTAAAAATACAAAAAAATTAGCTGGGCATGGTGGCACGTGCCTGTAATCCCAGCTACTCAGGAAGCTGAGGCAGAATTGCCTGAACTCAGGAGACGGAGGTTGTGGTGAGCTGAGATCATGCCATTGCACTCCAGCCTGGGTAACAAGAGTGAAACTCCGTCTCAAAAAAAAAAAATAATAATAATAATCTTAGCACCAAAACAAACTTTAAGGAAAACAAATGAAACAACCACAGCATTTTTGGACAGTTATCTTAAGGCCTATATTTTTACTTAAGATGTGTACCTTTCAGATTTGCAGACAAGGAAAATAATACAATTTTCTTCCAAAATAGGGTTTAAAAATAGATAATAGGTTTTAAAAAGAAAATCTCCTATTTCCAGATGACACATTCATTGAAACACCAGAAGCATTTGGAAAATCAATTTCCTCTACTTGTTGTTGGTCAAAGACTCAACCTTTTTTCTTTCTTTTCCCTAAAAGATAACCCCTAAACACAGCTAAAACTATGCCATCAGCTGCCTCCTAGTACACACAGTTCTGTACCTGGAACTAGTGAGTGCAGGCGTCTTTCTCTGCCTCTGACAGTGGGGTCCCCCATCCCTGCAGAGCATAGCTGAAGGAGTCAAAGGTCTCAGTGGGCCACTGCCTTAACAACCCTCACCAGTCCCCTGATGTTTCTTAATATTTTATAATTTTGACACACCACCAAGATGCTTTCATTAGAAAGGATCTCTAACTCATTCTTGTATTCACTTATCTTGATCCTGGGACTTCTTCTCTAAGCTTCTGAAGCAAAAACAGGTAGATGGGAGATGGTGAGGCATAAAACATGATTTTGCTTGGCACCCACCTTGGCATCTGTCCCCATGACCAGATCTTTCAATTCGATGATTTTGTCATTGATGGAGGAGCGATATCGTTTCTCAATGATATTGTGGGTTGTCCGCCTTTCTCCTTCTTTGGGGGGCTCAAGCTGCTTGACTCCCCCAGGTACCTGCTTAATGGGCACTTTCTCTTGCCCCATCATTACAGGCATTGTGGTCAGAATGGTCCCATTGCTGCCCACCAGGGTCTAGAACAGGCACAGGTACAGAGCAGAATGATCCCTTCATTAGCCCAAGTAAAGCAACCTCAACACAGACCTGCCCGCCCCAGCCAAATGTTGCCACACCTGGCAGTACTTCATGAGATCTGGGACTCTTCCTCGGTTAATCAAGTCAGGCCCCAAGAAGTCTCAGGAGTCACGGTACCTTGGTTACTACCTCCCTTTAAGAATCACCTTCAAGGCAAGGCATGGTGGCTCATGCCTGTAATCCCAGCACTCTGGGAGGCTGGGGCAGGTGGATCAAGAGGTCAGGCGTTCAGGACCAGCCTGGCCAAGATGTCAAAACCCTGTCTCTACTAAAAATACGAAAATTAGCTGGGTGTGGTGGCAGGCGCCTGTAATCCCAGCTATTCGGGAGGCTGAGGCAGGAGAATCGCTTGAACCACAGGGGTGGAGTTTGCAGTGAGCTGAGATTGAGGCACTGCACTCTAGGCTGGGTGACAGTGTCAGAGTCCGTCTCAAAAAAAAAAAATCACCAGGCATGGTGGCTCACACCTGTAATCTCAGCACTTTGGGAGGCCAAAGTAGGTGGATCATGAGGTCAGGAGTTTGAGACCAGCCTGGCCAACATGGTGAAACCCCATCTCTATTAAAAATACAAAAAAAAAAAAAAAAATGAGCTGGGTGTGGTGGCGTGTACCCGGAGACTGAGGCAGGAGAATCACCTGAACCTGGGAGGTGGAGGTTGCGGTGAGCCAAGATCACACGGAGCTGAGATTGCGCCACTGCACTCCAGCCTGGGCAACAACAGCGAGACTTCGTTTCAAAAGAAAAAATCGCCATTGATAAACTATACCACAAGAGGATTAGCAAGGCTAAATATGTTTTAACTTTTGATCTAGGTATGCCAGAAACAAGTCATATGATTTCTGCTTTGCTGTCAAACTGTTAACCACCTCTAAACTTGTACACGGTGAACCGCGAGTTGGCACCAGAGAAAACTTTCTCCTAGTATATGACACATTTTTTCCTCTCAAATGACAATTAAGCAAATTACTGCATTTCTTTATACAATTTGGCCATCAAAAAGCTCAAGGGCAGAAGTGACACTCTCTATCAGAGCCATTTGATTAAGTAAATAGGCCAACCATGGAGGTCTCCCCCTTTTATTCTTCATCTCTGTTTTCCCGTCTTACTTTTTCTAATTTTAGTTTATTTTCTTTCCTTTTTTTATTGAGACAAAGTTTTTGAGATGGATTTTCATTCTTGTTTCCCACAATCTCAGCTCACCGAAAACTCCGCCTTCTGGATTCAAGCAATTCTTCTGCCTCAGCCTCCAGAGTGGCTGGGATTACAGACATGTGCCACCACACCCTAAAAATATACTATTTTTAGTAGACATGGGATTTTTCCGTGTTGTTGAGGCTGGTCTCGAACTTCCGACCTCAGGTTATCTGCCCACCTCAGCCTCCCAAAGTGCTGGGATTACAGGCATGAACCTCCGCCCCCAGCCCACCCGCTTTTTTTTTTTTTTTGAGACAGTCTCTCTCTGTTGCCCAGGCTGGAGTGCAGTGGTGTGATCTCATCTCACTACAACCTCCACTTCCTAGGTTCAAGTGATTCTCCTGCCTCAGTCTCCTGAGTAGCTGGGAATATAGGTGCCAGTTACCATGCCTGGCTCATTTTTGTATTTTTAATAGAGACGGAGTTTTATCATGTTGGCCAGGCTGGTCTTGAACTACTGACCTCAGGGGATCCGCCTGCCTCAGCCTCCCAAAGTTCTGGGATTATAGGCATGAGCCACTGGCCCTAGACCAATTTTAGTTTATTTTCTTAAATAATGGCCTCAATACCTAAATGGCCAGTAAATAAATTAAAAGGTGCTCAATTTCATTAGTTGTAGTTGCCAACAAGTCATACACAATAAAAACCACAAATCTTAAGTTTATAGCTTGATGAATTTTACATATGTACACAATGTATGTAGCCACTCAGACCAAGATATAGCCCATTTCTATCAGCTCATAAGGTTCCTGCATGCTCCTCCCTCCTTGTCATCACTGTCCTGACTTTTGGCGCCATAGCTTCATTTTGCCTTTTTTTGAACTTCATATAAATTGAATCATTAGCATGAACTCTTTTGTGATGGGCTCCTTTGGCTAAACACACTATTTTTGAGAGACAGCCCCATGTTATTTTATTTATTTATTTTTTTGAGATAAAGTCTCGCTCTGTCGTCCAGGCTGGAGTGCAGTGGTGCAATCTTGGCTCACTGCAACCTCCACCTCTCAGGTTCAAGCAATTCTCCTACCTCAGTCTCCTGAGTAGCTGGAACTACAGGCATGCACCACTAATTTTTATATTTTTAGTAGAGATGGGGTTTCACCATGTTGGCCAGGCTGGTCTCAAACTCCTAACCTCAGCTGATCCACCCACCTTGGCCTCCCAAAGTGCTGAGATTACAGGCATGAGCCATCGTACCTGGCCAGCAGTTCTTTTTTAAAATTGCTAGGCATATTTCATTGTATGAATATATCACAATGTGCTTATTCTTCTGCAGCTGGATATTTTGAGTTGCTCTAGTTCTTGGCTTTTATGAATAAAGCTAGTGCTTCCAAATTTTAATTACCATTTGCTCTATCAGATTCTCATGCTTTAGGATGCTGAAAGCAGCTGAGAACCTAAAACTGAAGGATGGGGTGCCTTCCATGTATCTTACCTTGAAGCCCTTCCCTGCCTGGTAGCCCTAGGCTCCTTCAGAAGCCATCAGCAGGACTTAAGAGGTGAACGATCTTGTGTGGAGCTATTAGGCAAGAACCGAGGGTCCTTCTGCTATCCTTTACTGCCCTCTTGTAAACCCCAGTATTCCCACATCTAACACACACTGGTAATACTTTTCTCAAGTGGAAAAATGACTAAGAGGGGTGACATTTACAATTCCACTGATTCGTGCTACAGACCTTCCCATACCTACTCAGCATATAGAGATTTAACATCTCTGAAAACTAACACCTCCAGGAATGAAGGAGGAAGAAGTAGGATCGGGGAGAAGGCAGCTCTTACTGGTACTTGAAGGGCAGCCGTCTGGATAGGGGTGGTGAGGGCGGTGAGAGCCGGGTTCTGGACCGCAGCCATGACAGGGCTGCCATCTGTCTTCAGTGTGGTCAAAACAAGGGAATCTGTCTTGATGATCTGAGGCTGGACCAGGACCTGAATGAAGAAGGAAAAACGGGAAAAGGATGATAGCATTATCCTTCTGTTTTGCATTCTTTTCTTATTGCACAGACCTTCCAAGAAAGAATGAGAAGTGATACAACTTTTATGACACTGAGAATCATAAAGGCCATTTCGAAAGCTATTTCATACAGCCTGAATACTGGGTTCAGTGGGAGAAAGAGGGGCTAGCTAAAGAGGGTCCCGGTTTTTCTTTTCTTTCTTTCTTTCTTTTTTTTTTTTTTAAACTGAGACAGAGTCGCTCTCTGTTGCCCAGGCTGGCGTGCAGCAGCACAATCTCAGCTCTCTGTGGTCCTGACCTCCTGGGCCCAAGTGATCCTACTTCCTCAGCCTCCTGAGTAGCTAGGACTACAGGTGTGTACCACCATGACTGGCTAATTTTTTGCAGAGACAGGATTTCATCATGTTGCCCAGATTGGTCCTGAACTCCTGGGCTCAAGAAATACACCCGCCTCAGCCTCCCAAAGTGCTGCAATTACAGGTATGAGCCATGGTGTCAAGCTGGGTCCTGGGCTTTAAGGCTAAAAGACTTTCAGGAGGGTGGTGCCAGTGGCCAAGCAGGAACAGAGCAGAGATGGGCAGGGTGGATGGCAGAGAGGAGAGGGTCTGACTTTGATGTACTCAGGAAAGCCAGAAACACGGCTGAGAAGCAAAATAAACCTGAATTTTTAAAAACAAATTACCTTGTTAATAAGAAAATACAGTCCATGATGATATATAACAAAGACATTTTTTTATGATTATAAAACTAATACATGCCCCCCAGCCAGATGCAATGGCTCAGGCCTGTAATCCTAGCACTTTGGGAGGCCAAAATGGGTGGATTGTTGGGGCCAGGAGTTCAAAACCAGCCTGACAACACAACACGGTGAAATCCCACCTCTACTAAAAATACAAAAAATGGCCAGGCATGCTGGCTCATGCCTGTAATCCAAGCACTTTGGAGGCCAAGGCGGGCAGATCACCTAAGGTCAGGAGTTCAAGACCAGCCTGACCAACATGGTAAAACCCTGTCTTAAAAAAAAAAAAAAAAAAAAAAAAATTAGCTGGGCATGGTTAGCAGGCACCTGTAATCCAGTTACTCTGGAAGCTGAGACAAGAGAATCGCTTGAACCCAGCAGGTGGAGGTCGCAGTGAGCTGAGATTGTGCCACTGCACTCCATCCTGAGCAACAAGAGCAAAATTCCATCTCAAAACAAAAACAAAAACACCATGTGGCCCTCTGCCAACCCAAAAGTAATATATGTTCAGCATCTATAGTAGAGTAGAAAATATGGAAAACATAAACTATGGAAGACATGGTGGCTCACATCTGTAATCCCAGTGCTTTGGGAGGCCAAGGCGAGCAGATCACGAGGTCTGGAGTTTGAGACCAGCCTGGCCAACATAGTGAAAACCTGTCTCTACTAAAAATATAAAAATTAGCTGAGTGTGGTGGCACACGCTGTAGTCCCAGCTACTCAGGAGGCTGAGGCAGGAGAACTGCTTGAACCCAGGAGGCAGAAGTTGCAATGAGCCAAGATCAAGCCACTCCACTCCAGCCTGGGCGACAGAGTAAGACTCCATCTCAAAAAAAAAAAAAACAAACCACTGTGAAAAAGAAAATGATCTGTGAGATGCCAATTTGGCACATTTCATTTCAGTCCTGTGCCCATTACATGTGTACGTAAGAGACTGCACCAGCCTTTCCTGAGTGCCAGTGTCTATCTACAGATATGGGCCCAGCCAGGTCTCTCTACACTGCTCACAGGTGCATCCTGGCGCCCTACAAGCTGCTTTGTGTACACTCTGGCTGGTCCTTCTCAGTATGTAGACCACATCTTCAACCAAGGACCAGTTAACAACCCCAACCAGTGCCTCCTTGAATCCCTTCCAGACACCTACCGGGACCTGCTGCACCTGTGGCGCAGCAACTGTCTGCACTGTGGCCGGGGCAAGGGTCTGCAGTGTGCCATTGGCAGTCTGTGTCAGCACCCGCTGGGCCTGTACTGTCTGCACCTGCTGCTGAATGGTGACCGGCTGTACCTGGGAGGACGTCACCAAGCTTTGGACTTGAGGCTGAAGGACTTGGGAGAAGAGGAGAAAAAAGGCACAGAGATGAGGAATGCATTCTGTCACTGTAGCTGCAGCAGTAACCTGAGGATGGAGTATCTCATAACGATTCCAACTCCCCACCTGCTACTGAAGAAGATGTGTGTAGCCATTTACAAGCTGCTTTAGACAACAAGAACATCCCATAAGGGCTGCATCCACTTCTGAGGGAACGAGTACAAATTGTTTCATTTCTCTGGGTGCCAGGGTGGAGGAAAGGGAAACTAATCAGCAAATGACTGCACCCAGCAAGGGAGTTAACAGATGTTGAGAATCAACAACCCCCTGGGGCTTCATTTCCTCCCATCCTTTCTGGACTGAAAGTGTACTTTGGGAGGACTGTCTCAGCTTTTTGCCTTAACAACCCCCTCCAAATTCTTCAACTCCACTGAAGAACCATTAGATTCTTTGAAATTCAGGGCAATACTAATCCCACCCAGGGCTCCCCACAGAGTCAGAGGGAAATATGCTGAAAAGGCACTGGGATGCAGCACATCACAGAAAGAACAAGCCCCTTTCAGTCATCCATTCCCTCAACACACTGAGGGCCCAGCCTGAGGCCTGCTACTTGAAGCTGCTGCTCCTATATTAAGAGTCATATTCAGAAGTGGATGCTCAGATGTTTGCCACATGAATAGTTCTCAACTGTGGTGGCTGAGATCTGGCTGCCGCTTAGCCAATTTCAAACCTAACTTTATTAAAGCCTCCACCATTACTTATCGGGATGGCCTTGTGTTTACTATGTTTGCTGGATTTTTTTAACCAAGTATTTTTGAAATAGGCACAATAAATATTAAGCTATTTGAACTGCAGGATGTGACATGCTCCTGCACCAGTTCTTATTGCCAGTTATCAGAAACTCATTCAGACAGGGCCATATTCATACACCTGTCATTCCCAAAGAGGACAGAAATATTTACAGTGTCTGCAAACTGGCACATAACTTTGGAACCAACCAATCACTACCATATCTGATTTCTGAATCACCTTGAAAGCTGGTAGCTGCATTCTGGTATATCAAAGGCTGCTGGATAATCCTCGTCTGCGGAGTGGTGCTGAATGTTGGGGTAATCATTACCGTCTGTTGTTGCAGCTGAGCTTGAGGTTGAGGCTGGGGCTGGGGGCGGGGCTGAAGAATAGGAGTGGCCCTGGGTGTGGTGGAAACTGAGGTGGGAGAGACCTTGACCTGCAGGGCTGGAGCCTGTGGGGAAGCCGCTGAGGGTGAGAAAGAAGGTAATGGGACCTGGCTGAATGACCTTGGCATTGCAGGGTCCACAGCTCCGCCGCTGCTGCCCCTGCCATTGCTGCTGCTGCCGCCGCCGCCGCCGCCGCCGCCGCCGCCGCTGCTGCCGCCACTGCTACCGCCATTACCACCACTGCCAGGAAAGGAGCTACACAGCTGCTCTGAAAACAGGTCAGGGAACTCTCCCACTTGATTACTGACAAATTGCAGCATCTCTGTGAACAAAAGAAAAGGAGTAATTTTACTGCTATCCAAAATATTCACTTGCAAACTTGCTTCAGAAACTAAGACATGAAAACTCAAAGGCTTTCCTAAAACTGTGGCCGAAATGGGTCAGGAAACTCTTGTGGGGATCACCTGGACCAAGATGGCCAACCCAGGTCCTGGGACAACAGGACAGGACTTTATCTGTTTGATGTTCTTTTCCCTCCTCACTCCCACCTCCAGGCTCTTTCCCTCATTTTCCTGATTATTTTGATCAATCATAAAAGAAACTACCTTTGTACTAGATGGTGCTGCATTGTCAAAGGTACTGCGCGTCCTTTTTTTTGTGAGACAGAGTTTTGCTCTTGTTGCCCAGGCTGGAGTACAATGGTGCGATCTCAACTCACTACAACCTCTGCCTCCTGGGTTCAGTGATTCTCCTTTCTCAGCCTCCTGAGTAGCTGGGATTACAGGCACCTGCCACCATGTCCGGCTAATTTTTGTATTTTAAGTAGAGACGGGGTTTCATCATCTTGGTCAGGCTGGTCTCGAACCCCTGACCTCAGGTGATCTGCCAGCCTCGGCCTCCCAAAGTGCTAGGATTGCAGGCATAAGCGACCACGCCCAGCCTTTTTTAGAGCTGGAGATGATGAGGCAGCAAGTAGGGAGTCACGGTCCTAAGGCTGTGAGTATAGCAACGTTGTCTTGGGAGGCCAGCTCCAAACCTAGCACTGCAGACCCTAACTTGCTCTAACCACTTTCCTCCTTACCACAGGGAGGCTCCCTCTCCAAGCTGAGTAAAGCCCTGGGCACTGTTGACATTCTTGGAAACACTCAGGGACAACAAAGTGGATGGCCCCTAAGTCACAGATCTTCAGGAGTGGAAAGGATGGGAAGACCATATATGAAGTCCAAGAGAGGAAAGTAACTTGGCCAAGGTCACACAGGATTAGAACAAGTTCTCTGCCTCCCAGCTTTGTGTTCTGCCGCAACACAGTGTGCGTGTGTTGCCAGGTAAGAACATAGTAATTCAGCCCCACCCTGGACTACATGTTTCTGAGGGCTCACGTTGGCTCTTGTCTGACTGTACCCCTTTCCTCTGGGCAAGAGATCTTGGGTCCAAAGGTGTGTCCACCTGGAAACCATGCTCCCTTTTCTAGATCATGTTCCAAGTACCTGGGACCCCTAAATTCCCAGCCCAAAGGGTCTCAAGCCTGCTTCCGGGGCCTCTTCCTTGGTCAATCTGCCCAAAGGCTTTCTAAAACCCAACTTAACCCACAACTAACCCCTCATCTCTCATGACTCCCTTCTTTTCATATGACTGGTCAGTATAGAAGTCAGGGGCCTCGGCTTTGTCCTAGATATTTTCAGATCTATAATTCTCTACATTGTCCACGTTCTTTTCTCTTTCCTCTCTCTAATACAATCCCAAGAAGCTACTGCTTGTTCTTGAACTATGGCCCCTCCTTTCCAAACCCTCAAGGCCACATGATGCTCTGATTTGGGTACCACAACAAAAACCACCACATCACCATAAACATTCCCCTAGCCGGGTGTGGTGGCATGTGCCTGTAGTCCCAGCTACTCAGGAGGCTGAGGTAGGAGGATCGCTTGAGCCCAGGAGTTCTGGTCTGTAGTGCGCTATGCCGATCGGGTGTCCGCACTAAGTTCGGCATCAATATGGTGACCTCCTGGGAGCGGGGGACCACCAGGTTGCCTAAGGAGGGGTGAACCAGCCCAGGTCGGAAACAGAGCAGGTCAAAACTCCCATGCTCATCAGTAGTGGGATCTCACCTGTGAATAGCCATTGCACTCCAGCCTGGGCAAAAGAGTGAGACCCCGTCTCTTAAAACAAAAAACAAAAAACAAAAAACGTTCCCCCAAACCTCCACTCCACCACCACCAGGGTGTCCTCAGTTGGGGCATGTTTGTATATCTGACAAACAGAAAGCTGCTGAGTCTGGATGTGGTGGCTCATGCCTGTAATCTCAATGCACTGTGAGGCCAAGGTGGGAGGATCACTTGAGGTCAGGAGTTTGAGAATAACCTGGGCAACACAGTGAGACTCTCTCTCTTTTTTTTAGACAGGGTCTTGCTCTGTCACTCAGGCTGGAGCGCAGTGTTGCAATTTCAGATCACTACAACCTCTCCCTCCCAGGCTCAAGCCCCACTTCAGCCTCCCCAGTAGCTGGTACCACAGGTGTGAGCCACCATGCCCAGATAATTTTTGTATTTTCTGTAGAGATGGGGTTTCACCATGTTTCCCAGGCTGGTCTCAAACTCCTGAAAAGCAACCCACCCTCTTCGGCCTCCCACAGTGCTGGGACTACAGGTATTAGCCACAGCATCTAGCCAGATCCCTTCTCTTAACATAAAACAAACAAACAAAAAAAAAAACTAAAGAGTTTTTTATCAAAGGTCACTGGAAATGAATATAAAATAAAAAAAAAGATTTTTTGAAGCTTACATAAGAATAGGAAAAATAAATCGTAAATAAATGTAAATAAAGATATAAAACTGCTGGGGCTTTCTAGTGTGGCCTCCATATGGGATAACTGGAGCTTAGCCTTTCAATCTAGGCACCTGAAATATTCAGTCAGTTACACCTGCTGGGCAGAACAGCATCGCACAGACTAAATTCCCACATAGTGGCATTATTTACCAACACCTTGATCGACACTCAGCTCTGTCCTCACTCAGCCTTGTGTGAGGGAGCAATGGGCAGATTGCTACAGATATTGCAACTTCTACAAACTAATTCCAATTCCGTGTACATGATTAAACTAAGAAATGTCCTCAAATTCAGCACATTCAAACAAAATATAATTTAGTGCTGACACTCCAAGTACAAGATGATAAAATGATTTAAGAAAATGATTAAGAGGGCCAGGCGCGGTGGCTCATGCCTATAATCCCAGCACTTTGGGAGGCCGAGGCAGATGGATCACGAAGTCAAGAGATCGAGACCATCCTGGTCAACAAGGTGAAATCCCGTCTCTACTAAAAACAAAAATTAGCTGGGCATGATGGTGCGTGCCTGTAGTCCCAGCTACTCGGGAGGCTGAGGCAGGAGAATTGCTTATACCCAGGAGGTGGAGGTTGCAGTGAGCTGAGATTGTGCCATTGCACTCCAGTCTGGGTAACAACAGTGAAACTCCATCTCAAAAAAAAAAAAAAAGAAAACTATTAAGAGAAATCTAATAATTTGTTGAACCTTTGAGAATTCCCCCCAGATCCCAACTCTCTGGGAAATCAACAGAGAGGGCTGCTTTGTAAGCCAGAAAAATATCACTCACTGGCTGACAGTTTTCACCCATGGAGACTTAAAGAGGGCAGAAGGCCAGGGTGGCCTGATAGATGGGCACAAGCTTTGGTGTTGGCAGAGCTGGGTGTGAGTCTCCAGAGGCCCACCTAACCAGCGGTGTGAGTATGAGCAAGTTACTTCTCTCTACACCTTAGTTTCCTCACTACAAAAGGCTGCTTTGAAAATACAAACTTGGCCTCTTTGCTCTGATGATTAATAAGATAATTTATCCAGAGTGCGTGGTGAAGGGCAGACCCTTATGCAGGTTTCTATTAGTGATACTTCCAGAGCACCCACTACACAGGCACATGGGCACACTGATCTCATTTTGTCAAGTACACTTGAAACTCTTTTGTGGAGAAGATAGGGCTGGTGTGGTGAAGTAGCCTACAAAGGTCAGAAAGCTTAGTTCACAAAGCCTAAGAGTATGTAGGCAGATGGAATGCAACCGCTTAAATTAAAAAAAAAAAACCCTTTCAACCCACGCACAAAAAGCTCCAGTGGAACCATCTCCAGTCAGCCAGGCAGCCGGGTACTAGGCTGAGTGGTACAGAGGGGCTGCTAAGAGGAGCATCTGCAGAAAGGAGCTGTGGGAAGCTCCAGCAGGGCACACAGAGCCTCTCCAGGACCCCATCTGGTCTGCAGTGCCAGAAAAGAGGAGGCCTGGAAGAACCAGGGTGCAGCTGTGCTCTGTAACTCTGATCTACACCCCATGGGAACGTCCTAATGGCTCTTCACTGTTCCCTGCTCTGATCATTCACATTCTGTGATTACACAGGCTCTCATTTCCACGGAGAGCCATAAAATCCAGAAAAGGGAGGCCTGGGAGAAGGTACAAGTTTTATGGAGCTTTGAAAATGAAGCTCCAGTTCCTGCAGCAGCCCACAGAACCCATGGCCAGAGACAGGCCTCCCAGGAGCTAGGCTGAAACATTCAAGTTCATCTCACTCCCCTGGTCCTGTTTTTAGCTGCTTCTTAAACTTACAGCTAAGTTGCTTAACAAAATAGGTGAGGCCCCAAAAAACTTTATCTAGCTTCTGGTCTCTAAAAGCAACTGACTAAAATTAGAGGTTCCTGTTATCATCCAAACATTGCAAGCAGCCCCATGACTCTCAGAGACCCGGAGTTCACATGTACTTTATGGAGCTTCTGGCCTGGAGGTAACACAAATCACTTTGCCCAGCTCAGCCTTGCAGCATCTACCTGAGAATGAGGTAACCTAAAATCTGGTCAGATTAATTCTGATCAAGAATTAAGAATCTGAAGCCTCCAAATGGGGTTACAGTGTCTCCAAACTGCAGAATCTATCAATAATCCTTTAATAGGTATTTGTTATCCAGCCCTGTTGGTGCTGGGAACCTAGTTTACAAAGGTCATTTATTCTCATATTTTGTATGCATTATGCACCTTGTGTTAGACAATGTTTTAAATACTTTTTTTGAGATGAAGTCTTGCACTGTCACCCAGGCCTGCAGTGGTATGATCTTTGTTCACTGCAACCTCTGCCTACTGGGTTCAAGTGATTCTCCTGCCTCAACCTCCCAAGAAGCTGGGATTAGAGCCATGCCCACCTAACTTCTGTATTTTTAGTAGGGACAGGGTTTCACCATGTTGGCCAGGCTGGTCTTGAACTCCTGACCTCAGGTGATCCGCCCACCTTGGCCTCTCAAAGTGCTGGGATTACAGGTGTAAGCCACCACACCTACC